GCTTGTGGTTATCCTGAAGTAGATAGGGATTCTGATATTCCCATGACTTTCCCATTGTTTGGAGAAAATCAATGATTTTCTCGGAGCTGATCATGATTTCCAATCAGATTCGCCAAAATTTGGCAAGGATGTCTTTGACATTTATGTTTTCTCAGGGGGACCATGATTATATATGTACAATATATAGTTGTCTTGAAGTAAATAGAGTGACAAAATCTCAAACAGTCCTCACTAAAATCAGAATATATGCCTTCTGAAGATTGATTGCGGTATGATTTAGTTAGCCAAGTACCTTCGTGGGAAGTATTCTAATCCATGTATATGATACTTATGGGAATCATATTATCATAACCCCATTGTTTTGCTTCTCTCACTCGGATTTCGTCTTTAATAGAAACATTAATTTCAGGGTTTAACCAACTGGAATGGTGGGGATATCGATCCATCCACCCATGTCTTTGTATCTTTCTACACGAATTCACTGGCTTTAGAGTCTCAAATTTTCTTGAACTCAGTTTGGGACCTAATGATGACTCACCTAAATCTCTGAAGGAAACTGGCAAATGTTCCTATAAAACCAAGGTGTCCAAAAGCCTCTCTCTCTGCGGTCATCTGCACCTCTCCGACCCCCCGTCGCTGAAGCATTCCAGGCCTTGTACTCCAAGAAGTATTTCACCACAATGCCCATACCTGCATTGTTCGGTCATATCTCAGGTGCAAAATGAGTAACTTGTGGTGGTTTTAACCAACAAACATTGGAATTTAGGCGTGAAACTCATTAACTCATTGTTGGTTTATGATATAGATATTTCTTGGTTTACCATTGTATTTTATACCAGTGCTTTACTTTATAGAATATCTTTTTCTTGACAGAACTTGGGTGTCTCTGAAAGGGAGCACCGGGATACACCAACAATTAAACGGAAGGACTTCTATATCAACTTTTCCTTGGACCCTGGTTTTCTCCATGTTTTCTTGGAAAAACAACGCTACCCTCTGGTAAACTAACATACCTATTGAACATCACCATTTTTAATGAGAAAACTCACTATAAATGGCCATTTTCAATAGCTATGTTAAATTACCAGAGGGTAGATATTTGGCCAAGAAACAAGCCCTGGGCAGCATGAAGGCTGGCAACTCTGCCGGGGTCTGGGGCCAGGAGTCCTGAACGAAAACATCCACGAGTTAACATGGATTGACAATGGATTAATACTGTCATGATGGGGATAACAATGATATGATATGTTTAACATGATATAACTAACTGTATAATATGGTGTATATATATAATGTGTATATATATAATTATATATATAATTATATATAATTATATATGTATAATAGTTATATATATATATATATATATATAACTCATGGTTAACATGGGTCTCTCAATTGATTTAGTGACTCAAATTGTTTGGTTTAATAAATAGGTTATGATGGAAAATAATGGGACAATCATGATTAGTGATGGGACAACCATGGAGATATGGAAATGGTCATAATATGTCATAATAGCAGCTTATGATGGAACATAGTACTTGATTCAGTGGTTTAACAATGGTTTCATCAAAGAAACCATGTGAGTTCATGTGAGTTAATCCTGGGAAAATCATCGAGCTAACTGGTATATCATGGGGATAGCATGGGGATGTAAACCAACAATAATGGAACTTGATTTTAGCAAGAGAAGAATTGTTGATATTCAGAAAACTTGAGGTTTTATCTAGCAAACAAAAGGCAAAATCGGGATTTTGTTTGACTCAAACAAAAGTAAGTCCTTTTTATCATGAGAAAACAATATCTGGTTGGAATATTAATATTAGTCAGTTGGGATTATGATTCCCAATATATGGAAACATAAAATTCATGTTCCAAACCACCAACCAGATATGGTTGGCAGGTTGGGACACTTTAAGTAGCTCCTTTTTTTTCCCCATTTCTTGTTGGGAATATGAATAGCCACTAGCTCCAAATCCCTCCCGACCACGACCACTCAATAGTTTAATCCAGCAAATAAAAGGAACCATGGATATATGGTGGTTTGACCCAAACAAAAATGATGGGTTTTAAAGCAAACATGGGTAGGTTACCCTCAGTCGGGGTCTCTGAAACCCAGGTATTTACGGAACAAGTGGCCACAGTAGTTGCTGGGCCATGGGGGAGTTTTTGAGATATGGAAAAAAATAAAATGAATCAACTTTAAATTTTAACCCTGGTATCCAGTGACCATACCAAACATAGATAGAGCACGGAAAGTAGGAGTTATTCAACTCAATTTGGGGCATTTCATTTTGACCCATAACTAGCTGGACAAGCAAAATACAGTTACAAGCATGGCAAACTGAATGCATCCACTCATGATCAACAACAAACTTCAAACTCTCACAATAAAACAAAGTTACAACGGACTCGAATGTTCAATGAACCAAGAAAAAAAATGTCAACCTCGGAGGAAATAGTGGAAAATTGATACTTAAATGGTATCCCCACCCATTAATTGTTTATGAATCCAGGGTCTCAAACGCCCCATGTCTGTTGCGTTTAAATTTCCCCAAGAAGGCAATGCAGCAAACAATGATGTTTGGTTCAAGCACCACATTCACTCGGTCGAGATCTTTGCCATACACATTCATAAACCATAGAATTCACAAGGTTTTTCAAACAACTTAGTTGAGAGTTGTGGAACCCATTTTTCAAGGATAAATCACCATTTTTCTAGGTTAAATTTATGTTCACCAAACCATAGCTTATTCTTATTTTTTTAAAACTTGAAAAAAAGCGCGAAAAATGCAAAAAAAAAGGAAAAACCAAAAAGCAAATCAGCAAAATCCAAAAAACACAAAAGCAAAATAAAAGGGAAAAAAAAGGGAAACAAAAAGGAAAGACAAAAAGGGGAAAAATGGGAAAAAAATGGACTTGTCCATTTGCATTTTTGTTGCTTTTTTTTTTGCTTTTTCGATTTGCTTTTTTTTTTGCGTTTGTTTTGCTTTTATTTTGTTTTTTTTTTGTTTTTTTCCAGGCAAAAAGCAAAAAAAAAGCAAAACAAAAGCAAAACAAAAGCAAAAAAAAAGCAAATCGAAAAAGCAAAAAAAAAGCAACAAAAATGCAAATGGACAAGTCCATTTTTTTCCCATTTTTCCCCCTTTTTGACGTTCCTTTTTTTTCCCATTTATTTTGCTTCCTGTTTTTTTTGGTTTTGAAGTTTTGCTTTTTGATTTTCCATGCGTTTTCCTTTTTTTTTTTGCTTTTTTTTCAAGTTTAAAAAACATTAGAATAAGCTATAGAGGTGGACATAAGGTTAAATCACAATTGTTCCTGCATGCTTAAATCCATGGATGTCTGTGTTTTTTTTCACCCAACGAATCGTTCTTCAACGAGAAACAAAAGCAGATATCACCAGTGCCACGGGCCTTGAGGGGCGAGGTGCACATGAAGCCTTTGGGCAAAATCTTGACCTGAGCGCTGTCGGCGTGACGGCGTGACGGCGTCAGCGCTGGAAGATGGTAGAAATATATTCGAAAATCCATGGAAAATCCATGGAATACCACAATTCGAAGATATTTTGTCACTAAAATCATGGCGAAAGTAGGGGAAAGTAGGGGAAGCACTTCAGAATCAAAACTGATCCAACATGACTTCCATTTCATTCGTGATGTAGCGTGATACGTGCATGATGTGGTTGGAACTCCCACTTTTTCTTGGACTTGCTTTATCGGGCAATAACGATAAGTCTTCCCATTGAGTTTCCCCCCGCAAGTTTACAAGCCCCTCCATCGATACATATATCTCTTATGACCCCAATCGTTAAGCTAGTTGTTTCAACCAACTTAGCTAAGCGTAACTCTAGGTAAACTCTAGAAAAGTTCCAAATGTTGATTCCTTAAAACACCATGTCTGCATATGTCTGCTAGTTAACTCAGCTAACGCTCCCCTTTTTTGCTTCAACTTCTACCACCGCACAGGGCATCTTTGCAGCGAGCCGCGTTGGAGAGGTCCTTCAACAAGACGTGCGCCAAAATGCCCTCCACCATCTGTCTCAAGGTGCCTCAGTTTCCCATAATCTGGGGAGGTTTCTAATCTAAATCTTTAGGACACATTCAATTGTCAAGCCTATAATGGATAAGTAGTGGAGAAATCTTGAGAATTCAGGATTTTTTTAAAATCTTTATATAGTCTCTATACTTGTCAGGATTACCCAAAAAAGGTGTCTGATTTGTTTCGCGCAATTTCATTGGGTGGTCGGACCCCTGGCGGATTCTGGACGACTATGTCCGTACGTAGATCTTCTGATTCTTCTGAATTGGCTTCAAAAACTTAGATGAACTCATGGCAAATAATTACCCAGATTGTCAAATTCTAGAAAAGGGAAACACCGAACCGAAACCAAGCGCCGGAAAAGAAACAATGCTGCAACTTCTTGTTTCAACTTTGCTTTTTGCAATAGTTGGATTTCACTTTGTCCGTGTTCATTATGCACCTGCTTCCCAACAAAATCTTCAGATTTGCCAATGATCCACGCGTGGTGCAATCCCCGCGGGTGTTTGTTCATCAAACCAGCTGCAAAAGCCTCTGTCTCCGGTGATGTGCCACATCAACTCATGTCACACGTCCGATCCTTTTTCCCTATCTTAGCTATCTTGGGGGCCTCACAATGTATGGAAAACCGTGGAATTCCAACTTTTTGTTTACCCAAATTGCTGACAATTTCACGACAATGCTTGGATTTGCTTCAGGGGTCCCCAAAAAAATATATAAAACCCATACTATCAGATTCCCCAGTGATGGTGGATAAGAAAACTATGGGAAAACGCCATGGGTTAACGCCAAGCATAGCAGCGAACCATAGCATAGACTCGACAGATCCAGGTTCTGAAAAGTAAGCCAAAGATCCAGGCCCCAGGCCACCAAAAATTCATGAAAATTCGCTAGACATCCAATGAAATCACCTTTTGTTGCAAGCTGGGGCCAACGTAATCTCTAACAACTCATTGAAATCACGATGATTGCTGAGCCATGCTAGGCCTTAGTTCGAACGAACTCGGTAGACCAAGGGGATCCAAGGGGCCCCCTGGTTCGCCGACCTTGACAACTTGGACCAAGCGACGCTTCAGCGCCCGGACCAAGGAGTGGAAAGCAGCCAGGTCGAAGTCCACGTCGCTGTCCCACATCACGTGCCTGGTTTGGAGATCCCCCAGTTGTACCGTTGGAACCGGGGAACCACGGAGATCCAGTCGTCATGGCCAAGGTCAGGGCCAAGGGAACCACTTAGGGCGGCTGTCACATGTGGTTATTTTTCCTGAGATCTTCGTGGTGAATAGTGGGCGTGGGGACAAGAGTCGTTCAGTTGCGAGTAACAATTCATTGTGCTGGTGATTGACTTGGGTTTAGTAGAGTTGATAATTATTACATGTGCAATGGTTAAGTTAAATGGAATTGATGGTGTTTGGTCATTTCACCCTCGTTAAGCATATATTAATCCACATACGGCATACCATCCAACTTTTGATCACTGGCACGTAGGATATGATCCATCTGTTGCAAACCCCTGTTAACCTTGTTTTTGTTTAAATAAAATCAGTCTTATTAGGAAAAACACAACACATATCTATAGTTAATTTATTTGACAGGACTTGGGCTGGTATTTTTCACCAGCCTTTTGCCTATGCATTGTAAGTCCGGTTCTGGAGGGACAAATTTGTTGATCTGAAACAAACCCACTTGTTTTTTTATTGCCGGAAACAGTTGTGGGTAAGATTGAAGAACATGAAAAACATATTACCCACAGTTATGGCCATGTATTGCTTATTTCTAATACATTCTATAATTAATGGGGTTTTGTTAGTACTTATAACTGGTATAATTCGGGCCATAACTGCATTTCCCAATACAGTTTTCGTCCCATGACACCCCATTCACAGCTTTGCCAAACGAAAACCAAGGTACGAAGTACCCTCTGGTAATTTAACGTAGCTATATGGAAAATGATAGCTTTTCCAATAACTGGTCCAATAACAGTAAATCAATCATCAAAAATCACACTAAGTCACTAAATCGGTCATCTAATGTCTCCTATTCATTGTAAATCCGTGCTCTAAATATTGGGTCATCTACCCGGCCTGGTAAACGTTTACATAACTATGGAAAATCACCATGCTATCAATGGGAAAACTCACTATTTCGACTGGGCCATTTTTGATAGCTTTTTGTATGTTTACCAGAGGGTATACCATAGCCATGTTTTCCATAACCAGCTTCGGGTAGTGACCACTGGGACCGAAAACAGCTCCGCGGGTAGTGACCGCTCCCACCTAAGTTTCATCGGCACCAAAGACATCACGCGGCAAAGGAGCAACCTCGGCGATCGGTCGAGGTTGGTGCCTTTGTAGCTTCGCGAAGCTTGGTTGAAATCACAGATCACTGGGGTTTAGTTCGTAGTTAAACATGGTATAACTATAGTAACAATAGCTAGTTCGATGGGTATATATATATATTATACATATAATAGACAGTATAGTTGTTATAACATGTTGTAACTATACTTAGAAAAAAATCGAATTGGTTGGCTGGGTTTAGCAGCTTGTAGCTGAGGGGAACCCACCTTGTAGACATGTATCTCGCTCAGGCTTTGATGGTTGATGGATTCAATTGAAAACTGCTGAGATAGCACCCTGCCATTCAAAAGGGGTAAGCGTACTTCACCTGTAAATTCTCATACTCCGGTGTTTTGTGTTTTTCTCTGGGACATGTGGTTTAATTCATCAACGGGTTCTGTCTCATTTTGTTCTGACCTCAAACCCCAAAAAACGCTTAGGTCTTAGGTAGCGACGTGCCATTTAGGCTGAGAGGGAGAAAGCGTGTGAGAAGAACATGTCCATTACTCAAAAATCACACACATGATCACATATACTGGACATGTGAGATACATCATTAGAGTGCTTGCATGGCGAATTCAACTGATTTGAGACCGTCGTAGACAACATTTCCTGCCCTTCCTACCCTTTCCTTATAGACAAACTACGAATTATGATTGATCATGGCGAATAGTGCCAGCATTATTTCCAAGTTTGATTTACTTGGATTTGCTTAAGAGGTCCCCCAATAGATCTTACTTATTTCCTTATCGATTCCACAAATGGTGGATGAACCATGGAGAAAATCACAACTCCGGTGGCGTTCAACCATTTGACCAGGGTCTGTGAGGCTAAAATTCCTCTCCTCACATCAGAAATCCAAGCTTTGACTGGACAGGCAGACTCAGCAAGAGTGGAGTGGGAGTCTCCCACTCAGCTCGTTTGAAGGTGCCGTGTAGCCGCAACCCACTTGGAACAAGTTGGATTGCAAATTGGATCTTGTCGATAGCGGTGTGGCCAGAATTTCCCGTACCCGAACATACCCTTGCCAGAACCTGGGAATGGTTGCTAAATCCACCAGTTGGTAACTGGTGGTAACTATGAAACACTGTGGTTAAAATGTCATAAACTACCCATTTGGGAATGGTAAACATACCACCCGTCTATGGTGATGACTGGGGGATGGCATATCGTTCAATGCATCAAAGAATGGGATCGCAACTGCAGGGCGCCAGCTTGTACCATCAGCCATGCTTAACCATTGCAACAATTTCATGATCACAAACCGCTATAGACCGTGATAAACCGGTATGAATAATAACAAACCACTATTTATGAACATTTATAATCAATAACCAACCACTATAGTTACAAACACTAGACCACTATAAACCATCAAACACCATTGCAAACAATAATCAATCATTATAAACCAGTACAAACAGGCGGCATTAATGTTTGTGAAACAAAATAAAAACCAACCATATTTTGATGGCTTGTACAATTTATACCACCCATGTATGGTCCAAATTCGGGATGGTTTATATATTATTGCCTTATACTCACATTTTAACATTACTATGGAAATCCCCGTCTTACCCATTATAAACAATCAGAAACCATTACAACCAATAATAAACCATTTTATTTATTTATATATATATATATATTATACATATATATATATACATATTCAAAACAACTTATTAACTAGCACCCTTTGGTAATTTAACATAGCTATAGAAAATGGCCGATTTACAGTTGTGTTAACCGTTCTTAAACATGGTGATCTACCAGTTTGCATTGCAAACGTAAACGTTTACCAGTTCTGATGCAGCCCATTATTATGAGGGCTCTCAACCATCCAACCATGGTGGTGCAAACAGGTGCAAACGCAACCATCCACAGTGGATGGTTGACACTCTCATCCCGTGGCTGTCCAGGCACTTCCCACATTTGGCATCCCTTTCAGGTTGCGAGAGGTTGGCGGCAACAGGGTACCTAGCGACGCAGACGCAGACGCAACGAAGTTGTCACCGAAGGTTGTCACTGTTGGGATGGTCCTTAAGTGAAAGGTAGTTCACCTCCAGTCAGCATACTGTTGATGTGGAAAACCCACTATGGATGTAGGTCATTTTCCTAGGGCTTTCCCACTGGCGCACCACACATCTATCTCTGTATGTTTACGCAAGCTAACTTCCAGGTTTGGAGACGACTTGCTTGATGATTTTTCAAGATTTAAAAGAGGGACGTTAATGGATGATCAATAGGATGATGGATGATGAATGGGAAGGGATTGATCGCCATCTTCTCATGGTTTCTGACGGTTGAGTTGTACTGGCGTATGGTAGTATGGGAATGGAGGCTCCAATCAGCCAGGGGGTCCCATCAGGAAAATTCCACTAATTAGTTACATTGTGAGGCCCCCAAGATAGCTAAGTTGGTTTATAACTACAATAACTATGGTTTATGGTATTTATAACTATAGTTACTGGGGCTTATAAACCAACTTACAACTGGGGGGCCTCACATTGTATCCTCAGTACATTGAGGCTTTGCGAAATGTATCGATGGCGCATTTAGTTCAATGATAGTATGATGTACCGTTCTTAAACATGGTGGCTTTCCAGCTCAAGACCTGTCAAATGAGCAAAGGGCAGTACCCATGGCTAGGAATAAATAATTTAAAGAACATGTCTATCCTATCCTTTTTGGGGATGAGTATATGTGTATAATTTAAATATATATATATATATATACATATGTAGCATGCACACAAACATGAAAGCAACCAGTTTCTGAAACACCCAAAAACACCCAAGGATTTCGTGCTTCACCACGGAGTGGATAATCATGGGAAACTCGAGTCTCCCCATCATGATTTGCTAAACCCAATTTTAGCAGCATCCCGATTCCATCACCATAAATGGATGGTGATTTTACCCTCTGGTAAACTAACATAACTATGGAACATCACCATGTTTAATGGGAAAATCCACTATAAATGTTAATTTTCAATAGCTATGTAACAAATTACCAGAGGGTAGATGTTTTTGAAGCATCCCGAAATGGTCCATAAATGGCATTGACCTCTCGCCACAGCGCCGGGGGCACTTCACATCCTCCGGGAAAGGCTTCTCCGGTTGCGCGGTCTGAGAAAAGCCCGAGGCCGCATGGGACTTGCGGTGAAGCCCACAGCAATAGTTACAAGGTAGGGCCCCAAAACGTTAGATATAGTTCGATGTTTGGTTGAAATTGCGAAATCACTATAACTGGGGTTTAGTTTGTAGTAAAAGACACGTATAATTAACCACTAGTAAAAGACACGTATAACCACAGTGACATTGTTTTTTTTTTCTGGTTTTTGGAGCAAACATTAACACTGAGCCCAGCTTTCAGGGCCTAGGATCTGCAATGGCTGGTTCTCGCAAACTCCTCATGGCTGTCATTACAACCATTCGCATGGACAACGCATCTTAAATATAATCCAAGTTGTTTCCCACCGAAATATTATCAACATTTGGCTGAATTTGTAATGTTTCAATAAGATGAAAAGTGAGGCCATCTTGGTTGGTGACGTATCATCATATATCATAATTCCGGGTAGTGCCCATCATTACCATCATCCCCATCATTCCAGTAATGACCATCAAGTTAGGTCACGGGAATTTTGTGACACTGAAAGCAAGCCCCAACACGATAGAAAAGTAATATGTCACTATCTTAGGCTCAGATGTTGCCATTGTTTAAATATGTGCTTCAGGAAGCCCCCCAAAATAAAACATATCCCCCCTGTAGATTCCCCATTTCTAGTGGATTCAGCAAATTTAAGAATGAGCTGGTGATTGAACACATCTAAGTAAACCCTAGAAAAAACCCTACTGTTATGGCCCGCAATACAGTTATAAATACTTATAACCCCCAGAGGTCACCCCATATATAGAATGTGTTTTACTCCATAGAAATCACCAGTTAGAACTGCCCTCATGGTAATTTGTTACATAGCTATTGAAAATGGCCCATTTATAGTGGATTTTTCCATTAAAATGGTGATTTTCCATAGTTATGTGACAGTTTACCAGAGGGTAACCACTTAGAACTAACAGCCATGGCCATGTCCCTGTGACCATGAAAAACCACCATTCGAATACCGATTCAGGGCCGACCAGCCTCGAAGGGTTCACCGTCGAGACGTCCGAACCTCGGTTGGATAACATACATGGTGAGGCCCCCGCCGACGATAGCGTTCAGTTGGTGCAAATAACTACAATGTCACTATGGTTTATGGTATTTATAAGTATTTATAACATTTTATAACTATAGTTACTGGGGCGAATCTAAACCAACTTATAACTGCATAACTATGGTTTATGGTATTTATAACGAACTAGTTACTGGGGCGAATCTAAACCAACAAACATCACTGGGGGGCCTCACATTGTAGGAGATCAATGGAAGATTTCATGAGATAAGAATGGATGTATCATAGGGGATATATATTATACTAATATAAATATCAATGGCAATTTCAGGACCCCAAAATGGAGCTACTCTACCATCCAAGGCGATATTTTGTGGGGATATCCCATGAAAATTAGGCCTTACCTTACATTGACCTTTCGTTTAGGTACCTGAAATACTCCTTGAGTATAGCCCCGAAATTATTGAGATTTGTCCTCATGAGCGTCTATTGGTGCTTAATTGTTTTATCAGATCCTCAATAAGCCCTAGACAGTGGGCCCCTCAGATAAAATGGTTGGTTGAAAACACATGTAGCAGCGGCTGAGTAACAGCGGCTATAAATCCCAGTTATCAAAGCAGCAGCATACCAAGTTAGCTTGTCAATGACCAATGAATGGTGAATTATATACAATATTGATTTCCCATCGCCAGGTCTGCTCAACAAAAAAGCATTACAAAATTAACAGAATCTTTTCCCCCTCATGAAAATGAGTTACGGACAGATTGAATGGCATATTAATGAGCATAAACACACCAATATCTTGTATACTTACAGCAGTATCTACCAACAACAATTGGATACCTTCTATACTTACAACCCAGAAAAAAAGGAATGCAGAGAGCCAAAAAAAAAACACGTATTTAAATTCCCAGGGAGCAAATGGATGATTTCTTCAGGGTTAAAAAGCCCCTGATCTGTCGGACAGCTATTCCTCCAGGATCACTGTTTCATAGCGTCGTTTCCCTATGGATTATGACAATCCGGGGCGGCTCTGAGCCAGAATATCAGCCTCAAGCTCTTCAAAACATAGATTCCAAACGTGGTCTCTGCTGTTTTTTTTTGCCACTCTCACTCTCATCATTCAGACTTCAAACTCTCAAACTTCAGAGGTTTCCAGCTCCAAGCACCGACTAAAATGACTAGAGTTATGGCCCGAAATACCAGTTATATGTACCAAGTCACCCCATTTATAGAATATATAATCCACTATAAGCCCATTAACCAGTTATAACTTATAACTACTACATGACTGTAGAATAATGCAACCAAATGCTTTTTGGGAACGATTTGGGTACGAGTCAAAACCTGGCACCCTGCTCTTCAAATAGCTGGCTAATGTTCATACCCCAAAACATGTATGGAAGATCACATGGGATTTGACACTTCAACCGGTATCTTGAGTTGGGGCTCCCCAGATTGAATTGTTGGTTTAGTTTCACCCATGTATATATTCTTAGTTATAAACATCGGGAAACTGATAAACCCCATAGTTCTTTCAACCAAGTTAGCTATCATAAATCAGCTATACATCCCATGAAAAATCACCACTTTCCTTGGTTCAATCACTATTTTCCCATGGGTTTTCCATGGTTTCCTATACCTTTTCTAGGGTTTTACATGGTTTTCCTAGGGTTTTCCTAGGGTTTTCCTAGGGTTTCTCATGTTTTTTCACAGCTTTAAGTCAGCCATCCCCATCGTTTCGCCGCGACGCTTCATGAGCTCCAGGGCCGTCAAGCAGGGCTCCGTCAGATTGGCCGGCGTCTCCTTCCTGGCCGTGGTTGATGGTAGACCTACACCATAGTGTTTTTATTACATAGGTGTGGGTAAATTATAATATTTCACTAACCTGAATTGAACTTTAATAGGGACATCATAAATCATATGAGAATCATAAATCATTGATGAAATTCACCAAATACTTGGTGGCTCATCCCACTTAGTAAGTGGGTTATAACATGTTATAACCCCGGCCCCAGTTGTAAGTTATAAGTGGATTAACCCTACTTATCACATGACTATGGCCATAGTAAATATGGCATAGGTGTTTTTTTTGGTAGGCTTCAAATTGATACACTGAAATTCATACTTTTTCACAACTTAAGTGAATAACTTTAAGCTTCATTAATCTATGATAATCTATGGTACATGGTAGATACTTGGAAAGCAGTCAATAACTATATGGTCCATATGGTCCATATGGGGCGAGTTTTGGGACTCGGAAGACTACCCGGCCGAATGACGAACAGTTGGCGACATTGAAGCCATGGCCATAGAAATAGGTGAGTTTTCCGATTAAAAATGGTGATTTTCCATAGCAAACTGTTAGTTTACCAGAGGGTAGCTTCTTCATCCTTCTTCCGAAATTCTGTGATTCTTATTTCAGAACTTTAGTGCCTCGGCAACTTTAGCTTAAAAGAACCATTGTTGGAACAGTAAGTCCGTCCGGAAAAGTGCAGTAGCGCACAGCTGCGTTGACGGAACTCAGCTTCTTTTGAGTTTCAGGAAGTCCTGGGATAGAGGTTAAAGCACGTTAAAGCATTTGCACCGTGTGCAATAGTGCGGTAGGGTAGGATCCGGCTGCGTAGGTGGCTGCATTTTCGACTGCTTGGGAGGTTTGGTCCTTTTGGTGCACAACTCTTTTTGGCACAGGCTGCACACTCTGTTCGTTCCCTCTGTGTGGGTGTCAGAGTCAGTGTTGTTCCAGCCTTCCGAAGTTCCTGAGAACCTGAGTCCTGTCCCTGGCTTGATCCCGATTCACTCGTGGCGCTTGGAAATGCATTCCGCACTTGAGCCCCCTGCTTCCATAATTTGCAACCTTTGTCCATTGGTAAGGTGCTCAGCAAGGGCAATGACAAGTTGAACAGTGATATTTGTCAAAGTATAAAAATGAGGTGCTCCATAGCTATGAATATCGCCGTCTTTCCAACTTCAGCAAAGATGCTCTACACAGTAACAAGCGGAGTCTGGATCACGTGACCCTGAGGTTGTCTGATAAAGGCGTCACCAAAATTGTGTGATTCTTATGGCATTATGGTCAATGTATGTCAATGTTAGTTGGGGCGATGGCATGTACTATCTGCATAATGCAAAAAAAAGAGGTGCAAGCTGTGCAAACATGTTTGAAACATAACAATAGACAACACATGCTAATGGCACTGCGTTCCAATGTTTCAACTCCCTCCGCGTGCTTTCTATGGCAAAATATACAGCTATTAAGCCGCACGGTGCGGGCGCCCCAGTTGTAACTTGGTTCATAACCACCCCTGAAATGATATGTCTGCTATAAACATCTATAAACTGTGGATGGCTACGACATATTGCACCAGTTGGTATTGGTAACATAGGTCAACAATGGTCAACACCACCTGGCCGGGCGTTCCCCCTGCCAAGCTACAGCAAATCGCTGAGTACGGTGGCATTTCCGTCCTGCCCGATTTGCGAAGTCATGGGGTCCCAAAATTCGCGGACATCTTCTTGGTGGAAAGCCCTCAAATTTCAGGGTGACATATTTAACATATTCCAACAAAAACCAATCGCCCAAAAAACCTGTGAAAGATCTCCCCTAGACAGCTAGGGCATCACTTTGCAAGAATTTTCCCTTAAATCAATCCATTTAGGTGCATAATCCCCAAGTCCCCAAGTAATCTATTTTTTGTTGATTTGTTGTTGATTAAAAAACAAGTGGTAGTCGCATCAAGTAAAAACTACATTTGCAATGGGTGTCCAATATTTTCCAATGATTCTCCCATGAACACCTCCATTCACAGTATGTATTTCATCAATTTCACCATGATTTTCTTATCATGTTCCTCCTCTTTCCCATGGTTTTACCTAGATTTTCCCGTGTTTTTCTTAGATCTTCTCACGAAAATTCCTAGAGTTCCCTAGGCGTTCCTATGATTTTCCCCGATTTTCGAGGTTCCGGGGGCGCCTCGGGAGAGATGAAGTCCAGCTTCTCGAGGAGCATGAAATGCACCAAGGCACTCAAGGAGTGCAGGTCCTCGAGGCTGAAAAATCATGGACTTCGTCACTTGGGATGATGAAGATCTCCCAACTGAATGGAAAGTCAGAAAATTGATGTTCCAAACCACCAGCCATATATATGTATATATATATATATATGTATATATGTGGGAATACTGTATGCATTGAAAAGAAAAAAACTCTTTTGGATTATATGTATAGGAGATATATGTATGCAGTCAAATGAAAGCGTACAACAAATAATTTAGTCTAGCCTAGTCTAGTTTACTCGAGTTTAACGTAACCTCTTTATGTATCTTAACCTGCCCTAACCCCAACCAAACTATCTATCTATCCATCCATCCATCCATTCATCCATCCAATCTATCTATCTATCTATCTATCTATCTTTCTATCTATCTCTATCTCTATCTATATCTACCAACATAGCCAAAATTGCAAGAATAGTTACTCCTCCCGAAAAAAGAAACAATTTTTCAGATTTCTCGCAATTCTCCGGGTTGATTGGGGGATTCTCGCAACAGCCAGGGATTCTCGCAACTCTTTTTCTTTCCCCTAATTTTGATCATCCCCCTGTACATGATGCCTCATAGAGGTCAAGTAGAGATCATATGTCCTTTGGACAGTAATCTTTGGAGATACTCGTCTAGAATACCTACTTATCACTCCAACAAAAGACTCGTCGACCTGGCACCCGTCGACCAATGGTGATTCACACCACTCATGATCCAGGCTCCACTGTTCTAAAAAGCGGTAGCCATGGAAAAGCATATGCAGCTTAGGATGTATTGGGTACCTAGGCTCACAAAGCTGGACAGAAACCTGAGCCAATCTCTTGTTGGCACGCACAGACAGCAAACCCCTGCGAGCAACTTCTGCCGCAATGGTGCAATGTAGCCAGGCTCCATTGCTGTAAAGCAACCTGAAAAGCTCATTGGTGTTCCGGGTGACCACTGCAATCAAGGGAACTCTGGCGTCAAGGTCGGCCAAATGGTTAACCACATCAACGGTCAGGAAGCTTTCCATCCATTCCTTAAGTTGTTCACACATTTTAAACATTCTTGGTACACAAGCCAGCTTAAGTAACACATAAAGATTGTTTAAAACACATTTAAAGTCAAGAGACTCAATTGTGATCGAATTTATAGTTTCTCCCGTGGGTTTATGTTCAAGTTAAGTTATAATTATAAGTTAATTTAAAAAAGCTTAGTGAGTTTAGCATGCTTGATTTATATAATACCCAAGTTTCCATGAGCAAGGTGGTCGTTGCACCTTTTTGCCATCCTCCTTCAGGCCAGTCCAAGGATGTTTTAAAACCCATAGTGTCACGCCCAATTTTGGTCAGGTAGGGGCGTTCCTCAATGCCAAACAAAGACAAAGGAAACAAATAAAAATGCAAAAGCAAAATCCAACCTATCAGTGCCCAAAAATACATAACACATATTATAAAAAAATAGAACTATACTTTTTAATGAGCATCTTTCCTGGACCTGCAATATTCCATCCATCGAGCTGTCATAGATTGGAACCTGGCATCCACACCACCACCTGGAAAAAGCATCTCAAACTTTTGCAAGACCACCAATGAGCTCGCTATAAAGTACTTTCCAGCACCTAAATGCCAGTTGTGGAAGATGTCTGGGCGAAATAGCCAACCTGGCATGCCTGTCTGACTTGGCAGCATCTCCACGAAAGGAGAGATAGAGTCCCAAGGAGCTTGTGCCTCAGAATTTCTGTAGCATGGTCGAACCTAAAGAGCCATGAGCCATTGCTGGAATATTTAAGCCAAGAAGCCGCTGCGCTGTACATGGTCGCTTCAAAGCTGGGAGATGATCCAAAATCTTCGAAAGGAAAATCGCGCACTCCTCCAAGACATAGATGGCACACTCCACCGTTCCTTAGATACTACACAAAACAGTGAAAAGAAGCAATCAACAGGGAAGCAACCCACAAATTCAGCTGTGGCTCGACTTGGGGCAAGTGATCTCCAATGTCGTGCTGCTCAAGCTGCACATTGGTCTCCTTGCGCCGTGAATTAATTAAAAATAGCTTTTGTTCTGGTTAGAGATAACGATTTAGTCTATCACTCTATGAATATCACATGTTAAATATGTGATTGTATCTTAAAAATCAGGTTTATGAACAGTAATTATAGACAGAAGTTCATTCCAGGCATTAATTACAGATTTATATTACATTAAGCAAAGTGTCAAACATAAATCGGTGAAACATCAGCTTAAATTATGATTTAAACTGCATTCAATTTAAAACAGACACTGGGTTATCTCATAAGTCTGATAAATCGGAATTGGGTTCATAAAAAATTGAAGTGGGTTAAATTATTTTTGGAAACATTAACATAAGTGTCGCTCCTCAAGGAGTTTCTGGATATCGTCTGCCGAAAGGTCTGCCGTCTCACTCAAGAGGTGGCGTCGCTGCTGGACAACCATGGCATCAGGAGACATTGAAGCCATTGAATCAACGACTTGTGCAGCACCCCTAACAAGTTCTGAACACGACCAGGACCTGCTTTGAAAGCGAGACACCATATCTATCACTTTGGGCCAAAAACACCTTGGATAGGCCAAGTCAGTAAGCTTTGGCATCATATTTGCATATTTCTGCGTTTCTGGGCAAGAAAAACCACAAAAACACAAAAAATGTTCATGTGTTTTTTTCACGTTTATTACGAGATACATGCTCAAACTCCGCTATTTCTCGCAACTTTTTCTCGCAACGAATCCGCTATTTCTCGCAACTAGTCCGGGAAATTCTCGCAACGAGTCCGGGTACGTATTTTCTCCGCTTCGTAGTTGCATTTTCTCCGGCCCCTTGAGCAACTTTTTGAATTTCTCCGGGTACATTTTTGTGAGTTACATGATGCTTTTAGCAATCCTTAAAATTACCTTCAAATTGCTAAAAATCTTTCAACTCAGTAGGTTGTTGGGAAAACACGCTTCCACCGGTCTGGAACCCTAAGGTTGGTGGAGCCTCTCATATATATACAAGCTTCAAGTATATATGCCTCAGACCATTCCTCTGGGTTCCACTCCAAGGCTTCGAATTGAGCTGGAGCATCCCAACCACATGCATCTTGGGGTAGTACTGGTTGACCTTGTCCATGTTTCTGGAGTTGGGGTAGGAAGCGCAGAATGCGAAGACCAAATGAAATTGGATATGACTGTGTGCCCTTCAGCCATCGATTGCCTTGGAATTGGGTCTTGTTTCCCTTCTTGGTTTTGGTTGTAGTTTTGAGGACGCAAGCTGCACGTGCTTTCTTCGAGAGAACACCTCGGTCCAAAATGTGAATCTCTTGGCTGTTTGCCCAGGCCCGATGGCGTTTCCTGGCCAGGTGTTCATAAAACACACAAAAAATAGAAATAAATCGTGAAAAAGTACTGATACAATTGCATCCCGATTTCATCATACTACTGAAAATTTACTCGTTTTTGTGAGAGCAAGCTGCGGGCTAAGGGCACCATAGTGCCTGGCCCACCATCCTACTCGCCAAGCACGAACTCGAAGCATAAATTCCTCCCACCGGGGCTACCATGGCAAACGCGAGCTCGAAGGCTGCTCCGTTGCCCAGGTTCCGCCAAGACATGTAACTAAATACTGTAGCAGCACTACTCTGGAAAGAAGACAATTTCCAACCTCAGAACTATAATTGATCAGCACAAAGCAAGCCCCGAAAATCAAAAAAAAACACAAATCTACTCGAAAAACTTTGATCAAAATCTAAATTGCTGGCCAAAATGCCTGAACATGAGGCAAAGCACAATTTCCCCATGGAGTAGCTGGTGTGCGTTTGCTCGTGCCAACATTGATTGCAGAAAAGGAAGTGCAAACCACAGCAAATAGTGCCAGGAATCCAGACGGGTTGGCGTTCAGGAGCACCCATATGCAAAGCCTCAATAGCAAAGGGTGGTCAGCATCAAGTCCCAAAGTTTTGTTTGCATGCTTTTTGTACTTTGAAAATTTCAAAGTTCTTCAGTGTTTGACGAGGCTCGCTAGGCCTGCTGCTGTTGTCATGTCGAAGCTGTTCTGCTTGCCTTTTCGTACAGTCATCTTGCCATAGTTGATGTCCAGCTGGGCAGTGCTGTAATAAGCAAATTTCGCACTTCTCCCGACATGGCCATCTCCGGCAAAAAATTCACACAGACCAAACGCCTGCAGGGACAGCTTCCATAATTATACCATTAACTGCACATGGTTGTTTTTTTCAGCATCCTGGCCTCAGGAACTGCTGGCATATTGCGAGCATAGTATACCATCACCGTCAGCCACACAAATGCCTGCAGGGATTTGAACAAAAAAATGCACAAAAGGTTAAATTCTGGAGGGGATTACCATTTAACGTATTGTAAAGAATTTTTTCAAGGTTTAAGCTAAAGCCCCAGCTCCTTTGGCACCCGAAGAAGCATCATCCTCAAACAGAGCATGTCGAGCTCCTCATCAGTCTTCACGGCCCAATGCGCCATGGCTGCAATAGGTGCAATATTAATTAAGTTAAATCTAAGTCGTCTTGACTTTTATAATTATGAGTCCAATTATAGAATTTAGATTAATTAATTATAAACACAAACTAGCGTGGTTTGTGGGCCCAGTTTTTATGAAGTCCTTGAAGCCCAGACTCTGGATTACAAATTATACATGTTATTAATGACACAAATTAGTGTGGTTGATGGGCCCACTTTATATGAAGTCCATGAAGCCGAGACTCTAAATTACATGTCATTAATGACACAAATTAGTGTGGTTTGTGTGGCCTCAGTTTATATGAAGTCCCTAGAGCCGAGACTCTGAATTACAAATATGTTTTTAATGGAAATGCAGAGAGCAGTAGAGGTTACAATGAACATTGCATCAAAAACAACTTGCCGGCCGCACCATTCACATGCTGCCGGGTATGAGGTGGTTAAGGCCACCCCCATCAAGCAAAACAGCTACAGATAAAACATATATACTTTAAGCCCTACATCACATAATTCACAATCATCAAAATAAACTAAAATATGCATTCTTAAGTATCCAAACCTAATTCTCGCAACGATTTGTCAAATCGCAAGAATTTCTACAACTCCCAAAAAATATTACTTTTTTTTGGAATTCGTAATAATTTATATGTATTAGGCTTAGCTGGTATATCTATATCTATATCTATATCTAAATCTATCTATCTAGCTAGCTATCTATCTATCGATCTATCGATCTATCTATCTATCTATCTATCTACATCTATATGTATATCTATATCTATATCTATATCTCTATCTCTATCTCTATCTATCTATCTATCTAGCTATCTAGCTATCTAGCTATCTAGCTATCTATCTATCTATTCTATTCTATCTATCTATCTATCTATCTATCTTACATACATCTATCTATCTATCGATCTATCTATAGTATAGTATAGTAAAGTATCGTATAGTATCGTAAAGTACGGTACAGTATAGTATAGTATCGTATCTATCTACCTATCTACCTACCTACCTATCTACCTACAGTATCTATCTATCTATATATCTTTCTGTCTATATATATATATCTATTTATCCATATACACAATATGTGTTTTCCTCAAGAAATGTACAAGGTGATGCTACCTAGTTAGAGAAGTCCGTTATAACTAGGTCAAGTATGTTGTTGTTCACCATGAACATAATGAACATACCCATAGATTCCATAGTTAGTCACTTGGGGGAGAGCACCACCTTTGGGTATCAAACATGGCAAGCCGAGGAATACCGTGTCAATGGATCTCAATGGTCATTTTGGATGGTGCAATAGCCATCTTGAAAAATGATGGAGTTCGTCAATGGGAAGGATGACATCCCATAATATCCCATATATGACATGGAAAATAAAAAAAAGTTTGAAACCACCAACCAAACCAACCAGTCATTTTGGATGGGGAATGATGGGGACCTGATAGGGACACCACGAAAAAAATCATGGAGAACTTTCCAGCCACGTGGCTGACACAGGGTTGGGTTGCCAACAAGCCAGAACCGTCAAAGCCAAGCAATATCGGATGTCCCAGGGATGCGGGAAAATCTAGGGATCTGAGGGCTATACATGGCCATAACTGGAAGCTAGGATGAATAACTGGAAGCTAGGACAAAACTGGTCCATGAAGAAAACCAACGCTTTTCTGGCACATGTTCCTGTAATGAACCCCCAAAAAGATCGAAACTATTTCTCGGATGGGAATTCGATGATGCTTACACATGCTTACCACATATTTTCAGATGTCCACCTTTTCTATCTATGACAAGTATCCCAGTCAAACGCGTTTGGATTCGAGTTCATGCAGGTCGAAATGTGTTTTGCGGTCGCTGGTTGGATGAGTTGGAACCACATCGGCCCCATGGCAACCCCTAAACAGCCTAAATAAATCGTAAAGTCAATTATCCTAGTAAAAAAGGGGCAAGTTGTGGTAAAGCTAGCATGCTATTTGGAGGTTACTGTGATGTCTGGATCATGTTTTTGGGATTTTTTGGCTACATAAAACTTGCAGGCGTCAAAGCTACCAACTGGATAAATCATAGCAACCCGAGTGGCAACTGCAGTCTAAGTGAGATTGCTGTTGGGAGCTTGCAGCCCATGCGGTCAGAGGTCAGAAGGCCTCGCGTGTGGAAAGGTGACCTGACGTGTTCGGCTTCCACCTGCAGCGATGGGAGTCTGGCTGCAGCACGTGCAAACATTGGCTGGCTTTCGCTCTCACCTGGCGAGGGGCAGCATCCCTGCCAGCATCTTGACATGTGACAGTCCAGGCTCAGCAAAAGCTCAAGGTGGTCGGATCGGCAGAAGCTATGCACCTAGATAGAACATGATATAACATGCCAAGTAACTTTGTCCCATCCCGTCGTGCTGCTAGATCAACAGGTGACAAATATTGACAAATAAAACCAAGCCAGGTAGAGTGAACCTTTGATAATCAACCGCGCCTGATCAGTATACAGTACAACCCCTGAGATCCATATCTGCTGGTTAGATTCCATTTTTGGTATGCTGAAATAACTATTCTTAATAGTTCCATCATGTTCCATCCATCATAATTCATGGTTAAGCGGTTAAGCCCCACTAAAACCCAAAGCAAAAGGCTGCAGAAGGTATGTTCCCAAATTTAGGTGCTTAAAACCCCTAATAATTGCTGACTGAATCTCCAATGTCATTAAAACCCGTATCTTTTTTTGTGCGACGCACATGTGGTTGATAATAAAACCACCATTATTGATGGTTAAATCATCTTCAACCCCTATAGATTTCTGTAATGCTGCAAACCCAAATCCATAAACCATCCCCAAAATCACGGTTTTAATGGGTTCCACTTCAACCATTCCCAAATGGTTCATGCAGTTTTGGCCCAAAATACTAGTTATAAGTACTTATAATCCCATTTATAGATTTATAGAATGTATAATCCCATTGAAATAACCAGTTATAACGTTCATGGCCCATGGCCATGACCAAAATATGGCGGGATAGTCTATGCAAAATGGCTCATTTCATCCATCGCCGGCTTCAAATGGCCATAACTGGCTATAACTGGTTTCAAGTTAAAACTGGTTTATTTAGAATTACCAGTGTTATAGATTTATTATGATTTATTTTTCTCCAATCAATCACAATTCAATCACCATTACTGGTTGGTGGTTGAGCCACCCCTCTGAAACATGATGGAGTTAATGGGAAGGATTACATCCCATATATGAAATGGAAAATAAAATCTTTGAAACCACCAACCAGCCATTAAATCACCATGAAATCCCCCAATGGCTTCAGTAGCGCCCGAGGCTCCGAGTCGAAGGTGCAGGGTCCGACTAAGTTGATGCCTCGCAGCAGGGGCCCGTCGTTCTCAAACTCGTAGGCGTGCCAGTTGAGACCTGGGCCACTGGGGGCCCGCAATCTAAGCCCCAGTCCCCCATGGGAAACCATAGGAAAACCATGGGAAAACCATAGGAAAACCATGGGAAAACCATGGGAAAACCATGGGAAAACCATAGGAAAATGATGGGTTTCATCAAAAAAAATGGTGACTTAACCCAACGAGACACGGGTAGATTTAACTTGATGTAAGCAAGAAACATGGTGAATGATAGGTTAATTGTCGGTGATTTATGATCAGTTCCATGGATTCAGAGGATTGGTGGGACAATTTCTAGGAAACCTAGGATTTTACCGAGAAATTCCAGGGTTTCTTACGTAGATTTGCCCTTCATCCATTTCTGGGTCGTGGAATGTGGATATATCAGGGGGGGTTATGAACCAACAGGCACAACTTGGGGCACCACCATTATCTAACAACCGTGGGTCTTTGGTTGAGTAAAACCAATATTGTCCGTTTTGGCACAAAAAAAAAAAGTTTTGGATTGCGTTTGTCAGTGTTTGCCAACACCCGTTTTAAAGATGGACGGGGGTTACCCCACAAGAATATGCAAAGAATATGCAAAGAATATGCAAGAATGGGACTGATTGAGCAGGATTACTAACCAGTGTGCTCAATATATGGGTAACTTTCTGTTAATTTATGTTGTTTTCTTGTGGTCTTGGGTCCTGTCTATTTGGACAATACCGGAGAAAAAAAACATGTATAACTAGCACATCTCCGGTCCATGGTTTCACGAGGGGAAATCTGCAGGAAAGCCCTGCACATTGGAAGTAAACACGTGTCAAAACCATGCAAAATCTCAAGTGTCCTAGAAATCCCTCGAACTTCGCTATCTTGGGGGCTCCATTTTGTAATCATTAATCATTTCCATAAATGTCCATGAAATTTCCATAAATGTCCATCAAATTTGCATCAATTTCCTTCAAACCAACCGGGGGGTTCCCCTGGAAATGCTCCACTTTTCCATCCCCGACTCACCAAGAGGCAAAACTTGAAGTCCACCTTTGTGACGCCTCGCAAGAGGATTTTGGATTTTGGATTTCATAAAGGATTTTTGAGATGTCCTTATTATATTTTATTATGTTATATTTAATATTGTCCTAATCCGCAACTTGCAATCGATTTTCAGCACATAATTATTATTATTATATATATATAATATTATGATATTACTTATTATTTATATAATATTCAATAATACTTTACAATATTAAATAATATCCTAATATTATATATATATAATAATGATGTCCTGAAAATTGATTGCAAGTTGCGGTTTATGATACAGAATATACTCCTACAATTTCATGAAATGGTGAGTTGTGAATTATGAATTGCACATTGGCAAAACCAAAAACACATTTTCAACAAAGCCAAGAAGATGCAAATGAACTGGAAATGCATGTTATGCCCAAAAAAAATGACAGCCAAAACTTGAAGAATTGTCTATTATCAGGTCCCTTAATGTCTGAGTTGGAAGTGCAATTCATGGTCAGCCCCGGTCAACCTCTACAGATATTTGAAAGATTTCAGATGTCTTCAGTTCCATGGGTCTAAAACTTCCCTTGAAGCAACACCTTTTTGTTTAATTCCTCAATTCATAGAAAAATCACCCAAATTATGATATTCACGCAGCAAATGAGATGTTCACAGCAAATGCCTCACGCCTCAATATTCACTAACAGATTGGTTGTATTTTCAATTGTGTTTTCAATGATTTCATTTTCTTTAAGGTTCAAATCCACAGGTACAGTCCCTTCCCTTCATGATGGCCCCAAATGAATCTAAATGATAGCCCCCAAATGTTGGCTATGGCAACTAAGGAAACGTACCAGACTCTTTATGCATTTGTTCGGTGTAACCAACAGAACTGGGTGGCACTTTGCGCCCGTGATCTTGGTTGCAGGTGAAACGACCGCCGGGTAACCAAACCTAAATTTATCATATTCCATGTTATTTTTTTCGCATACTATCTACTATCTTACTGTTTTTTTTTAAACATATACCAACTATATATGATATTTAGGTTTGGTTACCTATAACTCCATTATATCTAAATTATATCACTATCATATGGTTGCATGATGTGGAATGGATCCCCATTTGTGGATGATGTTCCCATGAAAATACTGTACCAAATCCCCTTAAATCTAATCCCTTCCTCCTAATACTAAACGTCCCCCTAATACTAAAAACAGGCATCCATCTCCAATTTCCGAAAATTTCAGTTTGGCCAATTTGACTTTTAATTGATCCCCTTTAAAAAACAATTTAAAAATCAACCTACCATTTGTGGGTTCTCCCCCCTAATACTAAAAACTAGTTCACCCCGGGGTGTTTAGTATTAGGGGGGCCTAGTCCCAATCCCTCACTCCAAGCTGCCTGGCTACTCTAGCAATTAGGGGTAAGCTTCGAACTGCCATTTTTGGCAATATTTTAATTGCGTTATATAAGGAAATTTAATTGATTTTGAGATCGGAAAAAATAGTTTTTAGTATTAAGGGTTTTAATTTAGTATTAGGGGTAAGCTTCGAACTGCCATTTTTGGCAATATTTTAATTGCGTTATATAAGGAAATTTAATTGATTTTGAGATCGGAAAAAATAGTTTTTAGTATTAAGGGTTTTAATTTAGTATTAGGGGTAAGCTTCGAACTGCCATTTTTGGCAATATTTTAATTGCGTTATATAAGGAAATTTAATTAATTAATTAATTAACATGACTTCGATTTGGTTCCCTAATAATAAATACCCCCCTAATACTAAAAACTACCTGCCGTGTTTTGTATTAGGGGGGGGGGTTTAGTATTAGGAGGAAGGGATTAATTAAAGTCATGGTTCTTCCCATCGAAATTACCAGAAATTACTACTTCCACCATGTTTCATCATGTTTTCCCATTAAACCTCAGTAAATCTCGTTAAAGTCCCATCAAATCCCATCAAATCACATCAAATCCTATTAGTTTCCCACTTAAAATTCCGTTACCATGCCATGGTTTTCATGGCTTTTCTACTTTTCCCCACCTGTTTCCCCCCAAAAAAATCGCCGAGCTCGTTTTCCCTCCACGGCGCCTTGTCGCTGCATCTCTTTCTTCACGGCACTGCCGGAGATCTTCCACCGGAGGCCCTTGGTGATCTCGGGCTGGATCACGCGGGCACCCTCGGGGAGCCTCAGGCGGAGATGCTGTGTGTTTACCCTCTCCCATAGGATCCATGGTGCTGGTATATATGCTAACATTTGGGGTATATTGATGGTAAATGTCACCATATATAGCATACATGGATCCTATGTGTCTGGTAATTTAGCTATTGAAAATGGCCATAGAAATAGTGGATTTACCCATGAATAGCATGGTGATTTTCCATAGTTACGTAAACGTTTACCAAAGGGTATTGGGTACAAATGGGGAGATATCGTGTACTTTGTGTGGTAAAGATGGAGATGGAGATATTTTATGTACTTCAGCAAAATTGGTGCAGTTATGGCCATGGCTATAAACGTTATAATAAGTTATAACTGGTTATTTTCTATGGGAAACAAACACATTCAATAAATGGTGTTCTAAGTTAAGAAGTACTGATAACTGGCAGTTTGGGCCATAAGTGCAGTTCATTGGATGAAATCGGAAAATCGACTGGGAACATCATCACAACCAATTTTTGGGTCCTTTTGTGGACATCATGGGAATGATGGCACCAACAATTCAATGGGAATCTACAGTGCCATGGTGCCATCAAACGTGGATAACCTGGCTGGAAAATCCAAAAATCCCCAGCACGCCATGTTTGATTACTGGAGAGTAATCTCTTCGAAAAGCATTACTGTACATTTTTTTGTATATATATTTCATGTTCGTACGCATGTGAGTTAATTTCCTTTGTGCACTTAAACAATGCAATTATGATTCATAGATATTAATAGTTGCTATCTTCTGTTCCATTGCCTTCGATTAGCTTGGCCTTCTTCTTGACCGTTCCATCTTCGCCACTTGATCCTCCTTGGAACATCCAGCGAAGTGGAGCACAGCCGTGCCCTCAAGGGCCAGCTGGCCTTTAGCACCTCCCAAGGCTACTGTCTGAAGCAAGGCCTTGCGTCGTAACCCGTTGGCTTAAGCCGTCAACTTGGTGCCTAGGAGAAACGGTTTCACGGCGTTCTACTCTCCCATGGCCGAAATTTCACGACACTCAACAATTAGATCTATATCTGGTTGGTGGTTGAGCCTACCCCTCAGAAAAATGATGGAGTTCGTCAGTTGGGATGATTATTCCATTCCCAACTGAATGGAACAATAAAATTCATGTTCCAAACCACCAACCAGATACCCTCTGGTTATGTCAAAATAGCTATTGAAAATTGCCATAGAAATAGTGGATTTACCCATGAATAGCATGGTGATTTTCCAGTTCGCTATGTAAACGTTTACCAGGCCGGGTATATATAAAATATAATCATCCTCCATCAACATGGAGAAAGGAAGCACCCTTTCTACGAAAAAAAAGCACGACGGCTTATGGTCTCCCCTCAGGTGAGGCTAAGGATAACCGACTCAGTTGGTTATGTTCAACATCAAACAGATATGGAATCACCAACATATATTCGTGTATAACAGATATATTGGTAAAATCTAAGAATAACCTATATTTATCTATGTATAATTAGCTGTATTTTATACATTACTATATAGGTTTATTCTTATATTGAGTTTATGGATCTTTATGGTAGAATTCTCGCACTAGTTACTAGTTAATGTTAGTAAGGCACCAGTAAACCATCCCATAATTTACCATTCGCATGGGTGGTATAAACTGTGTAAACCATCAAGCATTGGTGGATGATGATAATCACCAAAATTACAGCTGATATCAACTGATCTATGATAGCAAAGATTGTGAAAATAACTAGCTTACTGAGAGAGATATAAATATATACATATTACTGATGTTAAACCAATGGGAACAAAAACATGGTTACTGATGTTACTGGCTTTATAATGCTTTATAAGCCAACCAACTTATCATTTTTGCGGGGCCAAACACCAGGGATTTTTCTTCCCAATCCGCCGAGGATCTTGGGATCGGTGCCTTGCTCGGGGTCGACCAAGGTCGATTTCAGGTGCCCAAACCATGGCGTTCTCAAAACGTGACGTGACTGTGACGTGAAGGAAAAACATCAGATTTATTAATCTTGGTTTATGATATCTACAGTTGAATCAAGTTGAATCTGTAGATGAATTCTCTGATTCTCGGATATATCGAAGTAGTTCAGCTGTATAGAAAAACATCACTGGAGGGACTGGAGGGCACCAGTCAATTGGTGGTTTTAAAGGAACCAATCTACACGTGAGGATGCTGGTGATTTTCATGACAAGTCCGTAAAGACTGATAAAAAGGAACTTGGAAGGGAGGAAATAAGTATTGTGGGTAAAAAAACATCAACCACCCATTTGGGAATGGTCTATACCATCTATTTATGGTAATTTGGGGGATGGTTTATTATTGTTTTACCCACATTATGGAAGATGAGTTTAGGAAGGAACATGGCCACTAGGAGATTCCATAGACTTGGATAGATTTGGGGAATGTACCTCGAATGGGATCGTTGAAGAGATACAACCCATCTCTGTTTCCGAACACTTTCAATCTTTTTCACCTCTTTTCCCACTTAAGCTCATCTTCTCCCATGATGCAAGATGTTCGTTCCGCCAAATACTCCATTGCTAATCTGAAGGTCGCAATTATATATGTTTCTCATATATTTTCATTTTCCGCTTGTCAATTGTCTTTTTTTCCGCATCTCGGGAAGGTGAAGCAAAAAAAAATGCCCACCATTCATCAAGGTTTACCCATCCTCCAAATCTCTACCATTTTCGAATTGCTACTCTCCAAGGTGATGGGTTTCAATCCGAGTTGGTGAATTCTACTGGGTTTATGGTAAATATATCGAACTAGTACTCTATAAAGTTCATATATAATTAACAATCTATAACGCTATCATTCCTGGTTGGTGGTTGAGCCTACCCCTCTGAAAAATGATGGAGTTCATCCCAACTGACTGGAAAAATAAAAAATGTTCCAAACCACAAACCAGATTATGTCATACTATACAACACTATATAATACGAGATAAACAGCTTTGTGATATCGATAGTCAAAAGCTCATCTAATGCAACCCCGGATGAATAGACCATGGTTTATTAGGGAGCTACTGCTCCAATAGTCATTATATGATACTTTTTAATGGTACCCTCCCAATTAAACAGCCGTTTGGGGTCTATTAATCCAGTGTTGACATTATGTAACCTCCAGTAAACTAACATGGCTTTGGAAAATCACCATGTTTCATAGGTATATTATGTATAAATGGATATGATATTTTTATGGTCAGCTATTCAATAGCTATGTTAGTCATTACCAGAGGGTATATCCCAGTAAATCACTATAAAAACACCATTAAATCCCATTAAATCACAACTTTTATCGATCTTTTCTGGGTCCAGCGCTTGTCGGTCCAGCGCTTGTCGGACGAGCAGCTCAGGGCTTGTCGAATGCTATTGTGTTCCCAGTAGGCCTTACCTCACACCGAGGCTCAGGACATCGCCGTGGGAAATCTGATGGTTAAACGAATGGTGGAAACACAACAAAAAAAAGTGCCGCGAATTCTTGATTTTTTTTTGCATGTGGTTATATCATGTTATATCATGTTATATCATGTTATATCCTAGGAATGCCCGGCCCTTCTAGTTTCAATTCGCATCTTTACTTTAATTTACCATGCACATTTGTTTCATTGGGTGATGCAGATGTGACTGTATAAGAATTGTTGAGGTATCAATGTCAAATCTAGCTCTGTGTACACCACAACTTGAACCACATAGCGCCCAGTGAAATGTTTACAAACCCGACCAACAATAGCTAACATCTAAGATTGTTATATAATAACACATCATATACATATATATATATACATACAACATACATATATATGTACATCATAAATGATATATAAATGCATGTATTATATATATATATATATGGAGGTTTCCTAAAATGGAGGTACCTCTAAATCATGTTAATCGTATTTTCCACTCATAAGCATGAGTTCATGAGTTTGATCCGTTTCACTCATTTGCGCTTGGCACCAAGGTATCCAAGATGCAAAGAATTTGCTTCGTCTGGAAGCTGGGGTGTAGATACTGGGCAATCAAACCTGACCAAGTTTCGTGACATTGGCGATCCTTACCGACGTTGTTTATACCCTGTGGTTATTTGATGTAGCTATTAGCTATGGAAAATCACAAGTTTTTGTAATATATAAATAATAATACATATATAATTAAATACATAGGTAAATCATCCAAACATGAACCATGCCATTTTCCATAGCTATGCTAAATAATCAATATTGGCTAGATATAACTACGCTTCGCCGTAGATATGCACCATTATATGCGGTGTTAAAATGAAAAGCTACATCAAACTATAGTGCACGACTGGAACTTAGAACGACCTCCAGGTTTCCAAAACTTTTATCATAGACACTTAGAATGACTCGGTTTCGTGGGCATGCTAAGTGTTTGAAACCTGCAAAAATACACATAATGTAAAATTCTAGATTTCACTGCTTTTTGATGACATTTTCCCAAAAAACAACTATCGAAACCCAAAAATGATGACCCTTCCAGATTATTCTCACTTTTTTGTTCATCCACTTACTACCCTTTCGACGGTCATGCTAAGTGTATGAAACCTGCAAAAACACACACAAATTGACTTGCAACACTTTTGCAGCCCCAAAAAAGTGGTTCCAACTGTCTTTGCAAGATATAATACGGAACAACTAGGGAAATAATAAGGAAATAATGGGACAATAATAGGGTAAAATAAGGAAATGATATGGAAATAATATGGCAGACATAGGAAACTAAGAGGAAAATAATAGGTAAATAATAGAAACACTAGGGAACAAATAGGGAAATCATAGGGAACAACTAGGGAAATAACAGGAAAATAATAGTGAAATAATCTGGTTTTATATATATATATATGCTTGTAACGCTGAAAGCGGTGACCCTTCACAGGTTTTGCAATCTTTCTGGTAAACCACCATACCATACCATACCATACCCTTATTCCAGGATCAGTAGTTGCTATAATTTTCCCCATGCATTTCCCTAGTTGTTCCCTATTATATCTTGTAGAGACAGTTGGAACCACGTTTTTGGGGCTGCAAAAGTGTTGCAATTCAATTTGTGTGTTTTTGCAGGTTTCAAACACTTAGCATGACAGTCGAAACAGAGTCATTCTAAGTGTCTAAGTTTATCGTTTTGGGAACCTGGGAGGCATATGGGACGAGGGAAATAATAGGTAAATAATAGAAACACTAGGGAACAAATAGGGAAATAATAGGGAACAACTAGGGAAATAATAGGAACATAATAGTGAAATAATCTGGTTATATATATATATATATATGCTTGTAACGCTGAAAGCGGTGACCCTTCACAGGTTTTGCAATCTTTCTGGTAAACCACCATACCATACCATACCATACCCTTATCCCAGGATCAGTAGTTGCTATAAGTTTACCCGTGTTTCAAGATATTTTTTTCACTGGAAGCAAGGTGCACAAAACTTCCACAAGAGTGCTTGACACGTTTCATCATAAACAATTGCAAGAAAGGTCCATCCGCCAACGGCCCACTGAGCATCCGATAGCCACATGCCCGACATACCATTTTTCCCCCACATCATGAAATCTCTGTGCGAAATGTCCTCTGTAATGTACGCGCTTCTCGCTTGCTGCACAGTGACGTGCTGAACCGAAAGAAAAGTACATGTGAAATGGCCCCCAACAAGTTCATTAAATCACCCTTTGTTCATTAAATCACTGTCACTGGAGCGGAAGCTTTCGAAGAGGTGGCGGGGTATCAACAGCATAGAAGATATAGGAGAAACATGAAGAAACCACATTCTAAGTGTTGAAAACCTTCTAAATATCAGTAAATTTAAAAAAATGACCGGTGCAGAATTTTTTGGTGATGTTTTTGCATCATTCTAAGTGTCAAACCGTTCGCACATAGCGTGGTGGGATGATGATTTCAAAAGTAGAAGGTGCCCAAAACGCGAGTTTTGGCTTCTCCGGTGGGGCGGCGGTTTCCAAAACCACATTCTAAGTTTCAGTTGTGTACTATACATCAAACTACATCAAACTTCATCATTGCGGGGCACTACCTTGCTTGAATTTGAAACATGTGGGGTAGTTTTAACATGTTTTAACCCCTCAAAAAATTGTCCTTGGGGATGATCATGTTTCACTTGAAATCAAACGCCAAGTTACCCGGCCTGGTAAACGTTAACCTGGTGATGTTGATTAAAGAAATATCAGTTGGGTTTACCAAAAAATATGGGATAACATGACCCTCTGGAAAACGTTTACATAACTATGGAAAATCACCATGCTATCAATGGAAAAAATCCACTATTTCGACTGGGCCATTTTCAATAGCTATGTTAGTTTACCAGAGGGTAACCCCCAGTCCTTCAGATTTTGCATGCCCTTCGTCATCACAAGTTGCAGGTGAGTGCTGCTTCCTACATGTTCAGCCCATTCTACGATTGCCAGCCAGTGCTTCCACTCCCCACTCCGCACAGACCCGGGGAAAACCGGCACCTAAAGCAACTTTGCGATAATCTTCCAAGTCTCTGAGCAAGGTTCGAAACTCATTCCTTGGAAATCCAAGGAACGCTTCGATACATGAAAAATTCAAAAATAACTTGGATTCACCGCCATAGAAACCATCCCCACCAAACAGAAATAGGTGGGATTGAAACCTCAAATGATGGCATTGAGTTTACCAAACTGCTAGCTGTAGTCTGCCCAACCACCTGATTGGTTAATAACATTCTGGTGTCCAAACCGTGTCACCGTCATGTAAAAGAGAAATCACATTGTACCCTGAGTTCAGCATAATGTCAAACATCCAAACAAACACCATTCATCGTTAACCCTGATGGTTGATGGTTCAGCGATATTAAACCCCTACTTTGATTCAACAAAATCTTCATGTTTGCAGTTGAATCAATCTTCCAAGATCCTCTTGTTTGCATGATATCCAACAATCAACATCCATCCATCGTGAAACAAAATGCCTGGATGATGATTTCCACAAGCTTCTCCTTGAGTTTATCACCGTCTGTTTCTTTCAGTTGCAGGAGTTCCGGAAACACCATGTTGCGTGGTTCACAACGATTGGTCAAGTGGGAAAATCGCCACCGGAATCCGTGGATTTTTACCATCAAATATAAAACAGTTTCCGGTTTCAATGGTCCCTAGAACCAATCCTTGATGATTGGTCAAACAACACCAGTTCTGTTGTTAAACCTCAATTTCTGCTGATAACATTGGACAGTCCATCCCTGTGAAAAACGCCATGTTGATTCATATCACGTGGTTTCATCCCCTATATGGTTTCGTTTAGGGTGTTTAAATGTGTTTAATATGAAGGGAAACATGCATTTTTCCTATTGAATCACCGATAAATGCCCTGCCGTTAAAAAAATATCCTCATTGATCAACACTAACCACGTGTTCACCACTGTTCATCACCATTAAGCACTTTACAAACAATCATTAAGGCCTACTAACCACTTAGGCCCTACCAACCACTACCCCATAGGATCCATGTATGGTATATATGCTAACATTTGGGGTATATTGATGGTAAATGTCACCATATATAGCATACATGGATCCTATGGGTACTAACCACTGTTATTGACATCCAAGAGTCGTATCGACCAGGGGCTGGCTCTTGTCGGTCCATTCTCCCTTTGCCAAGGCTTGAGGCAACCTGATGATCAATCACCAAGACCGTTAAGCAGCTAGGCTTAATACGGTTATGTCCATTTATTAGTTATAACTGGTTCTTTCTATGGGATTATACATTTTATAAATGGGGGTTATAAGATGTTAAATACATGATAATAGATGTTATATGATGTTATAATACTTATAACTACTAAAGGGCCATGACTGTAGGGTGAATAGCTTTTACCGCGATAAATCTATAATAACGGCTATAACTCAGTTTCAGGACGTTGCAGTGGAGGTACTGTACCGTATGTTGTCCAAGCGCATTTTACACACCATATTAGTCCATATTATCATGTTTCTCGTGTTAAGGTGAGATGTTATGCCGACCCCTCCACGGGGTATTCAAAGAAACAACATGGCTATCGCATGCAAGCGATCTTTTGCACGGAGGTTGCGCAGGCCAGTCAGCTCAAGGCCTATTTGAGAGAACACGGCCACCGGATGATTCAGATGTCAACACAACACTGTTGAATGTGCTATCAGCCCCCTGAAAATCTTTTGGGTTGACTTTGGTTTTCATCCGATGCTCGTGCTGTCTCCCTTCAGCTAAAGTTTGTTCTTCGGCTTGAATTTTCAGCCTTGAAGTTCTAAGCAAATCCATCATGGGTTTCTCGTGGGCACCGGCTACTTTGGTCAAGGCATCTGAAGGATTGAAATTGTGTGGCACCCATCGGACTTGCCCTCGGCATCGGGCAATTGAATCTTGGATGATTGCCACTTCCAGTGCAGACCGGTCACAATCTCCTGAGGACTGTTCCGTTGCAGCTGCGTCAAAGAGGGACTTGGCGTCAATGATTGCTACACTCAGTGGATCTGTAAAACCAGGATCATCCGAAGCAATGACTGTTGGGGCGCCGCGACGTCCACGATGGTCATCTGATTCGGCTTGTTGACGTGGGTCAAATCGCGATAGCCTGAAACTGTTCCACATAGCAATTTGGCGCTCAAGTGCGCCTAAAGCGGTCGACAACGATATGCTTTCACAAAGCATGGTGTTGCCAGCTTTCCTTCTCAGCCTTCTTGATTTCCATGCCAGCAGTGAAATGGGAGCTTCCGATCCTTGGTTGAGGCGAGAATCAGTGATTCCTTGAAGCCATCCGTGTTGTGGTTTCGACCGTCCCGTGGGGTCAAAGGATGAGTCGGCAATCACAAAGTGCCTCACCTCTTCTTCAGCTATGCTGTGGATCCGCAAGGTCACTCGATGCGACTTGATCCTCTGAACTGCTTTGTTCGCATCCAAAACGTCTTGAACTGTTGGTTGCGGAAAACTTCCAGCCAAAATGGACGCTGCAGCTGCCGCATCAGGTCTACCTTCACGTGCCACCCAATTCAAACTTGCTATGGTGCCACGAAGTTGTGCTTCTTCCTCGGCATTGAGGATGGTTTGCTTGGCATCCTTCATCAGTGTTTTTCTCGTCAAAGTCACTGGTCGCAACCTGTTTTCCACATAGTCATCCATGCTGTAAGAAAAAGAATAGTCTTCCAGCTGCTTGATCCTCCTGCCAGCATAGGCAGTTCCCGAAGCTTCTGCTCGAAGTTCAACGGCCTTCACAAAACGGAGTCGTTCTTGAAGAGCTTTCATCTTTCGTTGATGGACTTCACCACCACTCTCCAAAACGTCATCGACCTCAATCAAGAGAATGCCTTCTGTTGGAGCATCGGCACTTCGGTCTTCGCTGTCGAGGGTGAGGACACAGCGGTCATATGGATTGATTCTGTAACCCAAATCCAAAAGAACTTCCAAAAACGACTTCCTCCACCATGCTGGTCCTGAGACCAAACCATAAACCTCAGTCTCGAGCATCACCAATTGTTCTGGAGTGCAATTTGGAAAAACCCAGTCACTTGGCATGGTGCAACAAAGCTTGCGCTTTCTTGTTGTTGGAAGTGATTGGAGAAACGCTGTCTTTGCGTCTTTGACGCGCCCTGCCCATCGACGAGTCGACGAGAGCTGGAAGAAAAGACATATGCTGATCGAGAGTGGCGTCGGGGCGCTCCTTTCTATGCTGTGAACCAACGGGTCACGCCATCCTACGACGCACCACCTCGACTTGGCAGATACGCCACTGTTGTTGGCTGTTGGCTCAAAGTCGGGAGACCCAAAGGACTGTGGAAGGGTGGAAAATTTGTCACCATCTGGTTTCCACCGGTCCACATACCGGCTCTGCAGCACATAGTCTGGAAACTCCTTTCTAAAAGCTCTGCTTTCTTCCACACTCAAAATTCTGATGGCTTTGTTGTCGAGCAACGACTGCACTTCCTTGATGCGGGCTTTCTCAAACACTTCACGATGTTTCTTGCTCAAGGATTTGAAATCCACCTGGCCAGGAGAAGTCTTTGCTTTTGTCATGTAAATGCAAAGGTCTGCTTGACTAAAAATGCCTACAGCCTCCTCCGTTCGAAATCCATCGTTGGAGAGAGCTGAAAGGCTGCTTCTGCCTGTCCTCTTGTCATGCCACCAAACTGCACCATCAGGTCCATTGGTCCAATTGAGGTGTCTGGACCGCGTTCCATCGAAGTCTGCAACTTCCAAATAGAACGAACCTGGTTCGGCTGGTTCCGAAGGTCTTGGAGGCAATGGCAAAGGAGGTGGATTGCCAACAAAAGGATATGGCTGAACCCTGGCACCCACACTTCCACGACCTCTCATTGGGGCACGAAGTTCACCTCCGGGACCCTCATCAACTGTGATGCTGTTTCGTCTGGTGTCGACACTGGTTCTTCGACTGTCTACTGCTGATGGTGGCACACTCGGCATGGTGTCTGCTGGAGCAACGGATGGTGCTCGTGTGCTATCATCTGCAGGGTCCATCACATCATCTGGGATTTCATCTTGGTCCAAAGCCATGTCTCTTGGCATGGTAATTGGAGTCGTTGGCGCCATGCTGATCTCATCATCGTCATCTGGAGGAATCTGAGGAACTTGAGGTGGTTCTTCAGGAATGGATGGCAAAGGTTTGGGGCCATCTTCATCCAGAGGTTCAGTTGAAATCTGCAGCTCCTTCTCCTGATCCGGAGTTGGTTCCTTGGTGAGATCGTGGAACTGTCGGATCTTGCCGTCTTTGATGTCTTTCAACATCTCTGCAGACAACTCTTTGATGAGTTCAGCGCCAAGGTGTTCTTCTGCGGTTGCTGATCGCAGGTGCTCTCTGGAGACTTTGAGAAGATGTCCTCGAAGCGATACCCACATTGACTTCTCGCTTGGCGATATGGCCAGCAGAACACCAGGGCCAGACCAACCCGTAAATCCAGGGATTGATCTCCACACGAAGACCCATTCGCCAACTGACAGAGGCTTCAGGTCGGCACTGCGAGTGGCAGCTTTCACAGATCTTCGCACTGACTCGATGTCCTGTTGCTTGACCCAAGCCATAGCTGCTGCTTCTCGAATCCTCCAGCTCCGTTGCATGTCTTCAGAAGCTGATACTTGAAGTAGTTCTGGATTGAGGATATCATCAGACAGCAGGCTGCCGGGAAGTCGTGGGTTCACCCCAAAGGCACGTTGGTATGGGGAATATCCCGACCTACTGAAGGCCCTGTTTCTGGAAATGCAGGTCTCTTTCAGGCACAAGTCCAAGTCCTGTGGAGTCATTGCGGAGACCTCGTCCAAAACCATGTGGAGCTTCTGCTTGTAGATGCCTCCAGCCTTCTCAGTACGGGAGTTTTGCCATGGACTGTTGGTGTCCGTGAAGTGTATCATGACACCTTGCTCCATCACTCGTTGGGAAAACTCTTCTCCAAAGAACTCTCGCCCTTGGTCACAAATCAAAATTGCAGGCGGTCCAAAAGGCATGAACCAACTTTTGAGGATGGCCTGGTGAGTCTCATGGGCATCCACATTCTGCAATCTCTCAATGATCTGTAGTCCAGTTCCCCAACAAAGCATGTTGAGCAGAGGGTATGAATTTCCCTTCCAATCAAAGTAGCAAACGTCAACTCCGACAACCTCGTTGAAGGCCATGCAGCGAACCAAATGACCAGGTCGCGGCAAAGATGGTTTTCTTGAAGACTCACAGATGGGGCATCGGAATTCACTGCGAACCCACTCAATCACCTCGGGCTTGGCTTGAGCATGCCGTAGGGCTCGGAGAAAAGTCCATTGGTCTGGATGACCCAAGTTCCTGTGAAGTCTGAAGATTTCTCGGCGCAAATCTGCCGATACTTCCAACTTCCCATCTTTTCTGGTTTTGGCCTTCATAGCCTCGGCAAGCTGTTGAACTTCTGGGCTTTCGGCTATGGGTCGAAGCTGGTTGCTCACATTTTTCATCACAGGCTCCTCCACATCGTCGTCAAGTGCCGGAAGTGGCTGGCGACGCAAAGTGGAAACACGACCACTCCCACCTCCCAAAATTCTGTTTGATGGAAAATGGGTTGTTGAAGAGGAAGCCATTGAAGTAGCAAAAACTTGAAACTCTTCTTGAAAAGCACTTTCTGCCAAAACATATGATGCCAAAGGTTGCACCCAAGCTCGCAACTCACTGTCCACCGCATGAAAAAGTGGTTGAGGAAGTGGCTCAACTGCTGCATGTCCTTCAGATTGTGTGAAAACCACACCATGAAATTGCAAATGGTGCCGCAATCCACGTAAAATGGCTCTCACAAAAGGTTTGGTGTACTGAGCTGCTGCAGCGGCACGACCACCAAGCAGAGGTTGATGATGGTGATCTCCAGAACAACGCTTGTGCAGCATTTTCACCAAAGGATAGCAGTTGGTCACAATCATCGTTGGTTTGCGGGCAAGCTCACCTTCTTTGGTGCGAAGTTGAAAAGCACACATGTCAATGGTGATCTCATAGACCGTTCGTCTGGCCCGCAACCGTCGAGCTCTGGGGTGTTCCCATGACTTGGCACCTCTGGGCTGTTCCAGCAAAAAGGCTCTGTTGGCATCATCTTGTTCTTCTGCAAGTTGAAGTGAGTACTCCCAATGCAGAAGACCTTCTTCTTCTTCTTCGTCCAAAACAACGTCATAGTCACGCTTGAAGTTGGACAAATTCCTGAGGGGACTGAATGTAGTGCATGGAGGGCACAAAATGATCAAGGCTGGTCGCCATTTTCTGATGTGCCTGAGAACCTCGATCCTGGTCTGCCGGTCTCGAAAGTCGAAACCATTCGTCAAGTCAAAAGCTTGACCAATTCTCCATGCTGGCTTGTGGCCCTTTCGATTTTGCAGTTCTGCTTCTAAAGTCACCCTCGGAGGACTGTAAACTTCCATGATGTCAGTGCCAAAATGGCCTGACAAGGACTGGTTCAGAAAAATCTTCACACCTCTGGGCAATGAAACGCCTTTGCAACTCCACTGCATGTCCTCGGAGAAGAGGTTGTAGTTGCAACTGTTCAGAGGGTAGACCAATCCAATGTGAAACTTCCTGCCTTTGAGCTCTGAGTCTGGCGGCAGTGGCAACCATCCGTTTTGATCTTGAAGAAAAACATGTTGGGTCTCTCCCAACCAGTGCGGAACTTGTACAAAGGATTGAATTCCAGGCAAACTCCAAGTGGCTTCGCAATTGGAGGAAAACGTCAAAAGAAGGATGGCCGCCATCTTCGCGACTGAAGCCACCTTGCTAGCCAAACCACAGTCTAAGATCTGTGCGCTGTGTTTTAGCTCGGCTCGAATTGTGGTGCGAACCTTGGTGTCGTGGGACTTTGTCTTGTGAGCCTCAAAAGACTCGAAGCACTCCAAGTCATCCATCTTCACGGGTCCAGGATGTGCTCCCGCTCCAGGGCTGAGACATACTCCATGCCCAGGCCCGTCGCTGATTCCACCATGTCCCGCTGCCAATCTGCATTCATCATGGCTATCTCCTCGGCTGAGAAGTCTTCGTCTGCTGTCACCATTTCCACCTCGTCCATGTCGTTGCCGGCCAACGTGAAGACCTCGACCTGGGATCCTGACGCTCGACTTGGGTCTGGCGTCGGTGTCTTCGACCTTTGAACTGGCATCAGGCCGATCATCTTCTCCGATCCCTGCTTCTGCAAGGTCCTTCCACGTGACTCGCTTGGTTTTGAGGTCACAGCTTTGGCCTTGGGCAACTGGTTGATTGTCACCTTCTGCGTTTTGAGATCTGGGCGGCTTCTCGGTGCAGGCAAAAACTTTGGAAAGTTCTCCGCCGGGACCGTTGTCTCGATCACCTGAGTTGAACTGGAAGCTTGGGACTGAAGCCTTTCCCAACGACCTCCACATTGCAGGCAGGTGTACCAGAAGTGCCCTTTTCCAGCTCGGTGACGAAGGTACTCCTCCTCGTGGATGCATTCCGACACCTCTCGGTTCCAAGCTGTCTGAGCTTTGGAGCGACTCAGAGGCTTTCCAATGGCCTGTCTGACCACTGACTTCGGATCCTTGGACTTCCGATCCTTCTTGGTGTCCTTCTGGTCCTCGTCCTCTGCCGGGGCTTGGATCGGCTTTTTCAACAGGTACTCCATGGCCATGGTATGTCTGGTGTTGGACATCATCATCAAGAGTGCCAACACAAGCCTTCTCCAAGTTGTCGCCGGCTTGGACTGTGTCGGAGGACTGATTGGTCCGGCAGCTTCGCTCTTCACCATCTGTCTGCAAGACTCTCGAAGACTGCTCATTGCGAAAACGTCTGGGACACCAAAAGTTGTGGTTGAAGATCAGATCTTTGAGCATTTGGAACGGCTTTTCGGCATTTGTCGATTCTGCACTGCCAGCTTCATGCGACCAAGTATTGGTCATCAAACGATCAGCAGCAACAAAATTGGGAAAGAAAATTGATGCCAACCAACCCAAAACTTGTTTGTTGCTGATGGAGTTTGGCCGCAAATCAAAAACTGGTGAATCATCACAAACTTCTGCCAAATGTTCATCACAACTTGCCAAATCAAACTCGAAAATGGGACCCGACGGCACCTGCATTGAAGCGGCTGCTGCAATTGATTGATGCCCGTCCTGAGGTCGCGGCAATGATGAACATGACAAAGTTGCTGTCGGGGTGAACAAAACATCTGGGGCATGTTGATGTTGTGCTGAACATGGTGATGGTGATGTCAATGTTTGAGATGATGACATAGTCTGAGATGATGGAGATGGCAAACTTTGAGATGTTGACATTTGACATGATGTTGAGACCTGGTCATCAGCTCTTTTCCCACCATGGCCGAACTCACGTCGAGCAGTGTTTGCCCAGGTTGAGCTTGATGATGGGGCTGCCGAGCTGGAGCTCGATGAAACATGGGTGAAAGCTCTGCGAGTGGTCTCGTCAGCAATGACAGGTTGGTTCGATACTGAACCACTGGTGTTCACCACCACGTGCTGATTGGAGGCAAAGATCACTGCCCCATGCCATTGCTCATCAAGTTGACGACTGGCTCGTGCATCTTGCCAGTAGTCTCGAATCACCATATGTCTGCCACCTTGCAAAAACGCATGGGTCAATCTCTCTGGTTCCAAGGTTGCAGGGTCTTGGATCAAAGCACATTCCTGCGGCAGTACCATCTGAAGTCTGCCCTGAGATGGAAGGTCTTGCAAATGGTGCAGTTGCTCATCCACCAACAACCAAACTGAAATCACTGGAGTTTCTTCATTGGTTTCCTGGTTGACCATCGCCTGAAATGTTGGGATCACAAACGGATCAACATTGGGATCTCGCCGAAGGTGTTGAGGCAAGTCCCAACCCTCATCTGAAAAATCCATAATGCTAACAGCTCGATGTTTGGTGGGCAACCTTCGCATGTTGGTTGAAGATCCGTCTTCCAGAAACAACAGATCATGTTTGCAGTCTATGGATGCACCCACGGATTCCAACCATCCAATTGGCAACAATGGCGGGGTTCTGTGCTGATCCCCATCTTCCAAAATTGTAAATTGAAGTACGCCATTTGATCCAGCAACACCGATTGGAACATGAGCTACGCCTTTCACTGTTGCAGCTCCACCAATCCCACCAGCTCCTGGGAGGTTTCCACCACGCTGCCACTGCGGTCTCAACCCTTTCTTTTTCAGTTCCTTTTCAAGCATCTCCATAGCATGATGTCCAATCACTGCTTCTTCAGCAGCCGTGTCTACCAGAGCTTCATCAGGTCGACATTGAACTGCATGAAAAATCATCAGTCTGTATGGTGCTCCACGGTCTGCTGAACGTTCTGAAGGAACCACATATCCAGAGTTGTGCATGAAGACCTGTGGTCCAGTGGAAGTCATCAGAAACTGTTTCCTGGCATTGTTTGATCCAGGTGAGGGTTTCTTGCTCTGGTCATTCTTGAAGGGACAATCTTTGGACATGTGACCCAGTTCGTCACAATTGAAGCATCTGGTCCTTGACAAAAGGTCATCCTCGTAGGACTTGAGGTAGCGCGTTCCCTTCGAGAACTTGCTTTTGCCCTTTCCAAAGTTGTTCCGGGGGCCTTTACGTTTGCCCTTTCCCTTTCCACTGCCAGAATCATGCCCTCTCTTGACATAGCCTCTTTCGTTTCGGCGCTTCTGCAATTCCTTGCGGACATCTCTGTACGCACTGTGGTATGCCAGAATTTCCACAGTCTCCTCCTCATTGAAGGTGCGGTCTTCAAAGTAAATGAAGGGATGTCCTTCTTCATCTTGAGATGAAGAATCTTCCACCAACTCATCATCATCGTCTTGAACATCATCCACATTGTTCCACTGCTGTTGATCTTCTCCACCATCCATATTGTAACCTGCGTAGTTACGACTCTGCACACCAGATTGGGCCTTAACCAGCATCTCAGGCCTGTCCAGTGTACGCAGCATTGTAGCGACTTCATCAAAAGTCCTCAAGGCTGGTCCACGAAGCATGAGCATCTCTCTCTGAAACTCGTTCAACCCAGCTTGCCTCAGAAGAATCCTTCCGCAAAGACGGTCTGAGATAACCTCACCCAATTGGCTCTCCATCTCCTGACGCGCCAACTGCTTGGAGGCTATAAAGGAGGTAAAACTTTCGGCCTTCTGTCGCTCACCTTCATAGATGAACTTGTCCACAGCCTTTGGTGCTGAAGCTTCCAAGTAGGGGAAGTATTTCTCATAGATTGCACTCAGCACTGAGCTGTATCCAGAAGGCGACAGCAAAACATGCATTGGAACTGTATCCGCAATTCTGCGGGGTTCCGATCCTTCTGCAAAGCTCTGCAAAAGTTTCACTCCTCTTCGCTCCATCGGCATCTGAGATTCATGTTCCCATAGTGCAAGCAGTTTGAGCCAACTTCGCAAAGTGCTTGGTTGACCGTTCCAGACAGGGATGTTCTTCTTCTCGCCAGTCAATGCCTGATTCAATGCTTGTGCAACCAATTGGTTGGATTGTGCAGGACTCATTGGAACGTTTGGGCTCTGTGGGACAAATCCCTGTTGCATATGGCCTTGTGGCCGTTGATTCCCTAGCAAATCAAACGCCGAGTTCTTTGTAGCTCCTGAAGTCGGTGCTGAAGCACTTCCAAGACCTAAAGCCGAAGAAAATGCTGCTGCACCAAAACCAGTGTTCTGCTGAGTGGGACCTGCGGTTCTAAAGAATGGCCCACCAGCTGTCGAAGAAACCGGCACAGAAAAACCAGGATGAAACATCTGTGGTGAAAACATCTGCGGCACTCTTCCCGAAGCATCACCCGTTGAACTGCTAGCAGCTGTAGCTGAAACTGATGAATGACCTTGCATTGTGCCTGAAGCAGCAAAACAGGATTGGCCACCCATCGCAGTTGTAGCACCTTGGTTTTGCAAGTATTGTGCCCAGGGATCTGCAGGAGGAAGGTTTCCACAGGATTGCATTGTCTGATCGAACCTGCTCCGCTCACCACTGTTAAGGTGAGATGTTATGCCGACCCCTCCACGGGGTATTCAAAGAAACAACATGGCTATCGCATGCAAGCGATCTTTTGCACGGAGGTTGCGCAGGCCAGTCAGCTCAAGGCCTATTTGAGAGAACACGGCCACCGGATGATTCAGATGTCAACACAACACTGTTGAATGTGCTATCACTCGAAACACATGCTGGCGTGTCAAGATAGTATTCAGCGACGTTGCTGTTGGAAACTCACCTTTCCAATTTTGACATAGTTTGACCATATGTTGTGGGGATATTCCCTGAATTTTAGCCCTTACATGGGCCTTACATTTGGATACATATGGTATGTACCTCCAGTTTAGGTTCATGAAATGGCCATTGAATGACTATGATACATAGACGATAACAATAAATTTAATATATAACTCATAAATATGCATCTGGTTGATTGTCTATAGATGCTAGCAATGTATTTGTTCAATCCAATGAATGATATTATTTTTTAACAATTATAATAAACCTGTAGGAATATATCATATCAAATATATATATATACAAATATACATATATGTGTGTATATGTGTGTGTATCTGTGTTTTTAGTCAAACTGCGCGAAAACAACATTAACTTGGGATTGGCAAAGCCTCTTGATTCATGTCAACCTCGGAAAAATACACCTGGGTTGATTAATTAGAGATGGGTTACTGCAAGCAAAATGATGATGTGCTAATATTTGCTACTTCAATGGTGCAGCTTTTCAATTAAACAGCCTTTGCGAGTTATTTATCCCGGGTTGACATTAGCTATATAACTTATATATCTATAATCATGTGTCTTGTTCTGCTCATGATCTCATGGTTGATATGTGTATATCATTTTTGCTCTTGTTGTCAACTTACGACGGAATAAGGATATGAAAGCGTAGTTGTATATGCATCTATCGTTTTCGTCCATGCTTAGTATTTAAACAGGATTGTCATCTCTCTCTCTCTCTCTCTGTCTCTCTCTCTCTTGATCGATTTACTCTGCTTTTCCGTCTTGGAAATTTACACAAAAGTGCGCACTAAATTGGATTTTTTAATTGACCATAGGTGCGCTTAAATTGGAAAAATCAACCATTGGATTTTTACAGTTCCTGGACCACCGCTAGCACCATAGAAGGAAGCCATGGAACCCTGAGGAGCGCCGTTTCCTGCTCCAGTGCTGCTCCAGAAAGAGCTTCTGCACCGCATAGGATTCGCAATCACCATCCATCGTTAAAGAGTTGCCCGAACTTCCTGCTATCAAAGCTTCAACGCACACTGCGTGCACCAAGTGTGCATAGATCGTGGGTTGGAAAAAAATCTCTTGGTTGACGCGACGGACTGACCGAGAAGGCGCCAGTTGCAAGTCGTTTGTGACTGGCAGTGCCTCTTGCATTCCATCTCCAGCGCAGCATGTTGCGCCCAGCAAAGCGGACAGGTCTTTAAAGCTCCTGTCCGCAGATTTTTTCAATGGCGGTCATTTCATGTCATTGGGAATTTCAGTATCCTAAAATGGAGGTATACCTACCATATATCAGGCCTATATAAGGGCTATAATTCAGGGGATATCCCCACAACATATGGCTTGTAGGTCAGAAATTCCGCATTGCCAACAGAAAAAGTTCCTCTTTTCATGGGGAAAAAGTCGTCATCCCGGTGAGTCGCCAAGGAATCCAAGGAACTTGTGGGAAATGATGCCATGCAACATCAAGTAGTACAAGCTCGGGGGCAGCCTCGGTGGCGAAAATAGGAAGAATATTTTTTGAACATCTCTAGAACACATTACCCTCTGGTAAACTAACATAACTATGGAAAATCACCATGCTATCAATGGGCAAATCCAATATATGCAACGTGTTTTTGTTGGTATATGTTGGTATACATAAACATCATAAAACAGGAGCCGAAAAAAAAACATGTGGCAAACCCAATGATGGGTGCTGGAGGCCATCCCCAAAGCAGACCGCTTCAGCGATCTCGTAGGCACTCGCCGCAGCATTCCGTTTGTCAGTTGGTCAAACGCTAGCCGAATGCCAAACATTACACCAGGATAATTCAAGAATAGACCATAAACCGTGAAACAATCTGAAACATCACCTATACTTACTATAGTTTATTATTATCATCACCATAAACCATCCAAACATCACCAAAAATCACCGACTGTTGGCTAGGATCAACTTCCTCTGGGTGAAATCACCGGTGCCCAGTTATGAGTTGGTTGAAGCATGAATTTTATGGTAACCATATCTGGTTGGTGGTTGAGCCCTACCCCTCTGAAAAATATGAGTTCGTCAGTTGGGGTGAGTATGAACCACATATATGGAAAAATAAACAAAATGTTCCAAACCACCAACCAGATATAGTCACCATAAACTGGAGATAAACTTGAGTTCTTTGCACCAAGTTGAGCTAGAAAAAAACATCAGCTACAGTAAAAAAAACATCAGCTACATCCCATGAATTCAGCATTGTTCTTGGGCTTTATCACCAGTTTCCCATGGTTTTCCTATGTTTTTTCGGCTTCAACTCCCAGCAGCTTGCTGCCCATGATGGAGGAGAAGTCCTGGGTCTCATCACCAGGGGACGCGGGGTTTATCACCATGGGAAAACACAGAAAAAACGGTGCAAGAATGTGGGGAAAAACATGGGAAACATATTCATATGGAAAACATCCAGAAACATATATAGGAACATACCGAAGAACATGGGAAAATCATGAAAAACCATGGGAAACAACAACTATAGATGGAGGTTTCAAATGGGAACATCATCTATGATGATGATTTGATGATTTGATCATGGAATTTTGTTCGTGGAATTTCTAGGCCCCCGTGGCTGATGGGACTCCCATTCCCATACTACTCCCATGCTACTACCACTTTAGAAACACCGTTGTTCCGTTCGGGAAGATGATGGGAATGGGGGTTCCATCAGCTCAGGGGTCCCGGGCCGAAATTCCATGGATCAAATATGGTAAACATATTGCTAGCTATAACTATACTATGTATGTGTAAAAATCAGTTGACGCGAATTGTTTGCCATTTGGTCAAGTCAAATCACTTATTCGTTGAAGTCACCATCTAAGCTGGTCAAACTCCCATTTCTTGCAGACACCTTTAGGGGTAAAAGCGCTTGGACCACTGATAACCCATCTGATCCCAACGGTCAACGGCCTTGTAGAGCTACACCCATGCTACACCATCAACGGTTTGGTCAAACATTTGGGTGGTCGGTTTGGTGTCACTTACATACAAACGAGAAGGGGAACCCAAAAGGTACGGAGGGGGAGAGGTGTATATAAATGAAACTTACTGGTGCTTAGCAGGGAATGAGGGAATGATCCATAATCACTAGTAATAATCATCCCCTTCTCCCATTCCCATCCATTCCCTACTTAGCACCAGTAAGGAAAGGCAACGTTGTGAAATGTTGTGAATATTCACAGCCAAGTCCAGAGTACTCACGGTAGTCCCTCAGGAAAGACCTTTCCTGATGATCCTTTGCAGCAATCCCTTCCCCCTATTAAACTAAACCCCAAACAAATACAGTAATAAAAACAAGGGTCCGTCTCCAAGTTTGGAAAATTGGAGGTTGGCCAATTTGATCCCCTTTAGAAAAAAAAATAAAGATGAAGCGATCATTTCAAGGGGCCGGGGTTTAGTACTAGGGAGAGAGGATTACTTATTGGTTGTTTGCTGGGGGCTATCCCGATATCATGTTGTTATAGTTACTACTGTACATATGTACAAATAAAGAAACACACACACATATATATATAAATATACACATACACACATTATATATATAATTATATATATATGCATTAAATACATTTATATACCGTACTATATCTCCATTCTATCAGTATAAAATTGTTGATTGAATCCCCATTCATGTAAATACTATTTTGCACCAAAAAAAACTTCTAGAACCTGATGTCGCACTGTCTTACTTTGAAGAGATCACCGCTAAGCCACTATTTTCGGAGAATCTCTTGTTAGAGGAGCTGGAAAACACCTATTGAATCCTATTGATGGATGATTTCTCAAGTCTGTCCCATTAGAACTTCCATCAAAATCATGCTCCCTCCCATCAAAATTGCCATCATCTGCAGTAGTTTCACCATTTGTCTCAAAAAAAAACAACCTCCATGTCACAAGTAGCCCGTATTCCGTAGGACTCACGAATTTCCGCCGTTTCACCCGGTTTCGCCGGCATTTCTTGGCGTAAAACGACTTCCCTACAGCCACCGTCGTCCCGGTTTCGGGCCACGAGCATCCGCGGGCACTTCCGGCACTGCGGCGGAGGGCGTCTTGCTGGTGGCGCCCAGCGGACGAATGGACACGTCTGAAAGGTGATAGACCGGGCTGTTTTGCACCAAGACCTGGCGCGCAGCGTGGTGACTCGGTTTTTTGGCGCGGGGAAACACTTCGAGTCGTTGAATTTTCCGCATGATTTTTGGTGACGGGAGGTTTAGATAGCGAAAATCCCATGAGAAAAAAACATCTGAGGGCGAAACCGATGTCATTGATGTTATGGGGGTCTTTTTTGGCGACCCATGACCAACATCCAAGTCATGACTGGATGACCATAACTTGGTATTGAAACAACCATGTTGACTCGGGGATACAGCCAAGGAATTGGATTGCGGCAAGATATGGATTGAAACAAGCAATTGGGGATGCAGCCATTTATATATATATATAATCGAACATGATTTATTTTAGGTTTGAAATCAGTTAAAGCAACAACAAAATAGAGAGTTCACAAAACAGCAATGGATTTAATCAAGAAAGATCAAAAAACAATTGGGAATTCCAGCTCGCATTGTGTTGGTATCATCATAAACCTGCGGTTAGCAAAACATCATTCAAATATGAGGAGTTAGCCAACTAACAAAGAGAAGGGAATCTAAACATATTTAAACTGGAAATAACTGGAGGCATTTGGGAATTCCATCTAACCCTAGGAAATTGCTTTCTTGTCAGATGATGTCAGATGAATTACCCAATTTTGAGGGCAGAAAACCATGCTCTTTCCCAGAAAGTCCACCAAATATATCCAGAATTAGATGAAGGACGATCAAGTCATTTGCGAAGGAAAACCCTTGTGTTTGGTGGTAAAAACCAACGCTTTCCTTTAGAATTTTCCGCCGGAAAGAGCCACGCATCGCATCCGATGCTTGCGGTTGGATGATGGCTTATCCAATGGAGAATGGCCCGGATTAATAAAAACCGAATAGTGGAGGTACCCTCCAAAGCAGTAATACCCTCTGGTTATGTCAAAATAGCTATTGAAAATGGCCGTTTATAGTTGATTTACCTAGTAACAATTGTGATTTTCCATAGTTATAGTTATGTTTGTTTATATACCAGAGGGTACTATGATACTTAAATGATACCTCCCCAACGAAATATAAAGAGCCTAAGTAGCCGAGTAGGGTTTTGTAATCCAGGGTTGACATTGCTGATGAAAAAAAACTGTTTCGTAGTGAGGCATGAAAAACTTCCACTTGTTGATGCAGACATATGCAGACTGAACATAAATCCACTCACCAATTACTCATCGGTTTTCCTCCTACCCTCTGGTAAACTAACATAGCTATTGAAAATTGCCATTTATAGTGGATTTACCCATTAAAAATTGTGATTTTCCATAGTTATGTTAGTTTACCAGAGGGTAGAAGGCTTTAAACATCACCTTCTTATCTCCTTAAAGACCTCCCCACTTCTAAAATGGCTGCGGTATCTCCATGCTGGATTGTTGCTACCAGTCATGGACAACAACCAGTCACCACATGGCATAACCCCACAGCCCAATAAGGTCTCTTAGACTGGCGATCAAAAACAGCTGCGCCGGCGATGCGATGCTACGCAGCTACACCTTGCAAATGCAATAGCCGTCCACATGGTCGTTTTTCATGTCATCCGTGGGAAAAGCTTGCATCCAGTTGATCAAGGGCGACTGCTTGATGATGTACACCTCGGGATCCGATCATGCGCAGCAGTATGGCAGCAGTGGAGAGACTAACTGGGAAAGACTCGGAAAGACTCTCCCCTATAGAATCATCAACCAACTGCGGTTTTTTTCGTGGGATAAAATCAAAAAAAATCGGGAAATTAACTCTTCTCATGTATTGCAAAAGGTCGAGCTACCCTCTGGAAATCAAACAACGCAAAAACACATTTCTATACATTTCTCTTATCGAACATTTTGAGATAAAAAAAATCATCTATATGCGGCGATTTTCCACCAAGCCATGTTTGATTTCCAGAGGCTACCCGGCCTGGTAAACGTAGCCACATCACTCTGGAAAATCACCATGCTATACCATGCTATCTAGCTGGGTAAATCCACTATTTCTATGTGCCATTTTCAATAGCTATGTTAGTTTACTATATAGGTAAATCACCATTTTTAATGGGTAAATCCACTATTTCTATCACACAAAACTTCGCAAACGGTTGACATAACCAGAGGGTAACAAAAACGGGGACCCCTTCAGGTGGCCCATCCTTCCAGCATCCTTCCAGCCGCGGTGCAACGGCATCGAAGTTGAATCGCGCTTGCGCCGGCTGGAAATCTCTGAGGTTCAGATAGGGATAGGTCAAGCAGTATCTCAGCACCAACGCGCACTGGGCCCATGGTTCTTTCAAAACCAAATGATTTTTTTGTTTAATGTGTATGTATATTAAACATGAACAATACACTCTCCGACATTATCAAATGTGACAATGAACAATCTCCTGTTTATAGACGATTTTCGTATGAACACTTCTTTATAGTGGAGCTCCAATTGCTATGTTTCATTACTGGAGGGCATATATATATATATACATACATAACTGTATACATAGAATAAACATATAATGTAATCACTGTTGTTTCTTTTTTGCGGCAAAATTGTATAACCATGCATAGCCGTAATAATTAACCCACTATTGATGGGGATAATTGGGATCTTCTGACCATAACACGTGCCGCTATGTGTTAGGTCGAATGCCACGCAAGGCAACAATGCAAATGAACAACGGGCAAAAAGGCAGCTTCCTTTTTGCTGCAATGGCTTGAGCTCAGGTGATCACTGCGTCGCACGCAGTTCAGTGCAAAACAAGCATGAACATGGGAATGTCAAATCATGTGCTCACAGAATCATGTTGCTGGCAAAAACTCACACTCATCTTTCTTTGTTGATTGACATTTCCCCTCTCATGCAACTGTATCCAGGGTTTCCGCAACCAACATGCAAAGCTTTCCATAAGCTTGCAGCAGACCTTCGTGAGTCCATCGGCCCACTGCAGATTTGTTGGGACCCAGAATACGTTCTCTCTGGTCAAAAACTGCTGCGCTGAACGGATCGAAACTATCGTCCGCTTCTCCTCAGTTCTGGGGTTTTCAGAAACCAAAACATCATACAGAGAACGGCAGTCAGTAACCTGTATCTGTCGCAACAGTTCTTTCGAGGAGATGTGGAAAGCAGGACGATTCAGCAACAGTTCACTCAATTGGTAATTCAAAAAGGATGCCCTATCTACCGATGCATCTGCTGCTGAAGCTTCCGCAGCAAGAGTGCTTCTGCAAACTCGGCTACTCCTAGAACTCTTCCAATCTAAAAGCAAACCAGGTGAAACCACATCTGTAGCCCTTGGATCAGCTAAAAGGATAAGTGATCCATGTTGGCTCGCATGCCCCTCAGCATTCGCCCATGATGAGTCGGCGAAAGTCACCAGCATGGTGGCATAGTTGATGGGCACCGGCTGCAGGACGATGCCATGCTCCTTCGTCGCATGGAGGTGGTCCACTGCTGAATACATGCTCTGCAGATCTTCATATGTTGACTTGGCTCCTTTGCTGCAAAGGCTAACAACCGCAGCAACATCTGGTCTCGTTTGACCAGCAAGCCACTGGAGACATCCTGCAACTGATCTGAACTCACCGAGATCCTTCTGATCGATGGTCTCTTTCAGCAGCTTTCGGCTCACCTTGCCGCTCTTCATCTCAGAGATGAACTTCTGCTGATTCAGGTGAATCTCGTACTCGCCAGTGGCAGGGTTTTGCTTCAGGGTTATTTGCTTACCTTTGAACTCTAAGGGGCTATCTAAAGTTAACTCATTTTGGCTTCCCCATTTGAACAACTGGAGCAAATGATTTCGGTCGTACCTTGAATCATGTGCCAGCAAAAAGTCATCCACATACACGATGGCAACTGCGCAGAGGACTGGATGCTTGCAGCCATCGAGCTTCTTGTGCAAGAAGAACAGCATCTTGTCCAAAGAGCCCTGCACATAGCCAGCTCGCAAAAGAGTCGCGATCACATGCCGACACCATGTTCTCGGGGCATTCGCAAGACCATAGATGTTCCCTTTCACAAGGTAAAGCATTGCCTGAAAAGTCTTCGCCAACTTGGTGATCCCGTCTTGGGGTGGTAAAAGATAGAGCGGTTGTTCTCGCTCTTCCGGATCACCTTGAAGAAATGCTGTTTTCACGTCACCGCCCCACAACAGCCAAGTTCCAGAGTTGCCACCAAAAAGAATACCATTCTTACCGGCAAGGAAGATGGCATAGAGGACAAACTCTGACTGTCGAGTTGGAGTTGCAGCTTCGCGTTGAAGGGTCCATAGATCTGGATCAAGGCAGCCAATTGCCACGACCCTGCATTTGGCTCGCAAGGCCTCAGCTCCCTTCGACTCGTCTCGATAGGCCGCTCTCGACCGCAAAATGCGGCGTCTCAGCTTCTTGTCATTCAAGATCGCTCTGGCCTCATGGTTGGTCAAAGGTCTGACTGATCCAAATTGTTGCCAGGACTTCTCTTCTGCTTGTGCTGCTTCGACATAGGCTTGAATTGAGGGCTGGTCCATCTTCAAAATGGTTTGCCATGGGATCTCCTTGTCAAGGGCCTTTCGTTCTTGACGTGTCAAGGTTGGTGCGATGGGTGTCTTCTCACCCCTAAAGTCTGCAACATCAGCATCAGACTCGTCGCTAGACCCTGTCCCATGGTAGTTCTTGTCCTTTCTATAGGCATTCATGTAGATCTTGTGGGCATACGGCATGTAGATGTCATTGGAGCCGTCAAAGCCCTCAGGAAGGAGGTGAATGCCGTCCACATCATCCAGAACAAAATCAAAAGAGCGCTCATCACGACGCGAACTTGCATTGAAAGTTGAATTTGAATTCTCCTCATGTTGAGGTTCTTCATGAAGTGAAACATTATGCACCTGATGCTCGCTGGACACTCGTTGTTCAGCTGGGCTCTCAACATCGTCAATGGTGCGCTTTGCAGGAGTCATCTTCAGGCCCTCAGGTGTAGTTGGAGCAATGTCGCCAACCTCTGGTGCAATGGCCGGCTCAGCTGGAGGTTGATCGGCAAGTCCAATAGGCAGCTGTGGCACTGAAGGTTGTTCAGCATCATCGTCAGGAATGGTGATGACTGCACTTGGAGGAGCGTCAGGAAGAACTGGAGTCGCATCACCAGGAACCTGACTCTCTTGTCGTTGATCTTGCAGAGAACCACCAGGTCTTGAAGGCAGTGAGGGCAATGGATCATTGCTACCACGTGGTCGGTCACGAAGAGACCTTTGCGGTACTGGAGTGGTGGATCTCGATCGGTGGGTTTTTCTCACAGGGATGTTCACTTTGGGCTGAGCTCGTTGACCTTCCGTCATCCCAAAAGACTGGTTCTGGATGATCGTATTGCGATAGGTCGGAGAGCTCATGTTGAAGTTGATGGGCTGCTGGAGATATGGATCTGTCTGGACTGCTTCTTCTTGCAGTGTAGCTTGGTCTTGGAGAACCATTGGAGGAGGAGTTGATGGAACTGGCTCTGATGGAATTGGAACAAACTCAGCATCACTGAACTCTTGTTGAGGCACTGCGATTTGAGGCTGGAGCTCGTCAAATCCAGGATGCTCCTGTCCAGGTGCTGGAGGAGGAATCTGCTCATCGGCCAGTTCACCATGTTGAAGGTTCTCAACTGCAGACCGCAGCGACTTAATGTCCTCATAACTTGGAGTCCACTGCTCAAATCCAAGAGCTGGACGAATCTGGCGAGGGGCAACCTTGATGGTGTTGGTGCCAGCTTGAAGCCATAAGCTTTTGCCATCGGGATCTCTTCCAAGAATTCTGGCGAGCTTGTAGCCACCGCGCTTTTTACCGGACTTGGCTGTCCAGCGCCAGTAAGCAGCAATAGAGCCAACGGGAAGATCTTGAGGACCTGTCGTAGTTGATTTTCCCAAGAGGGCTCTTCTAAGATTGCTGTCGATGCTCATGGCAGCGAGGTGCTGTTGGGCTTCAATCCTCAGCAGATCGGCTTCCTTCTGAAGCTCATCTCGGGTCTGGCCAGTCACAAGTCCACGACTGTCAGACAGGAGATTTGTCCCCATTCTTGGGATTCGGCCAAAGGCGGCTATGAAAGGAGGACGACCAGAGGACCAAGTGCAAGAATTCTTTGCGAAGCATGCTGCAACCACGGCCTGCTCCATCATGGCTTCATTGGAGACTGCTCTGGAGTCGATGATGCGCTCCATCAGGTCTCTCAGCACAGAGTTGTGGCGCTCAATGAGACCAATGCGATGATGGGACTCGGCTGGGATAAAGTCCACAAAGACACCAGCCTGGTCCATGGAAGCTTCAAAGTAGCCCCTGAAGGATCCATCTGGATCAGCTTTCATGCGAAGTGGAAATCCAAAAACACGTGCCCAGTGGGACACGAATTGAAACTCAACTTCTTCAGGGCTACGGTCTCGCAAGAGCAAAGCCATGTGAAAGTGGGTGCATTCGTCAATAATGCCCAGAAAAACATAGTTCACAGCTCGAATGTCCCTGACATAGAACAAATCGATCTGAACCGCATCAGCAAACTGAAGACAAACATCATGGGGAATGCCCGAAGGTTCAGGGCGAGATGGCCCCTTCACTCTCAAACATGACTCGCAAGTCAAGGCCTCGACCGCATCATAGAGCTTCTGGTCTTTGATGCCATTCATGGCCAACATCTTCTTGAGCTCATTGGCGTGAGGATGCCCAAGATTTCGATGGAGTCGTGAGAGAATGGTCTTCAGTTGCTGCGGGAGTCCAGGCAGCTTGGGAAAAGAAATGCCATCGACATTGTGTGCGACGATGCTTTGAGGATCATCATCTATAGTCACCACATCTTGTTGTGGAGCTCGCTCTTGTTGCGGTGCTTGCTGTAGAGCCTCTGCATGACCAAAGAAGAAAATTCCAAGATTGACAGGCTTCCGAAAGCGAGCTCTGGGATGTCGCACATCAGAGAGGTCCTCCACAACGACGTCGATCTCGCCATCGTTGTAGAGCAATGCAAATCCACGATGGGTATGTGGGATATGAGCTGGAAGTCGTAGCATAGCAGGCTGCACAGCGATCTGAACTCGCTCAAGCTTGTGCCATTTCACCATGTCACTGACCGACTTCCAAAGAGGATCAGAAGTTGCAAGCACGTAGCTCTTCATGCGAGTTGTGTCGAAAGTCCGCTGGGCAGATTCAAAAAGCGGCTTCCAATCTTCAGGATTGTCATTGCGCTGGGCTACCCAAACTGAGTGTTGAGAAGACCTTGGCATCATGAAGCGTTGAGGATCCAGCTCCATAGCAGTCTGCTTGATGCC